GCTATCAACATCGCCGACGGCTTCACGCCTTGCTCGGACCAGTAAAGTGATCCAAAAAGTCAAACACAAACTCAACCAAAACAAGGTGATATCCGTTCGAAATTTGTCTAAAGAATACGGCATATCCAAATCAAATGTACATCGTATATTGAAAGAAGATTCGGAACTCTATGCCTATAAGACAACAATTGAACCAAAACTCACCGATGAACACAAGTACAAACGAAAAAAATTCGCAAACTGGATCTTTAATAATTTTCGAAACGAAGACACAATGCGAATTTTATTTTCACACAAAAAAATGTTCGATGTCGATGGCATATACAATTTCCAAAACTAACGTATTTGGACGATCGGTAATATTGAAGCAAACGAAAACGGTGGAACCAAAATGAAACAAAATTTTCCGAAAAAGGTTATGGTCTGGCTGGGTATTTGCTTCAAAGGAGTGACACTCTTGGTCGTTTTCGACCAAGGAACAGTAGATCATGCTGAATATATCCAGCATGTTCTACCAATAGCACTAGAATATGGAAATAAGAACATTGGAGATACTGGACATTTCAATAGGACGGTACAAAATCTCACGTCCATCATCTAACACAAAAGTGATGTCAGGACAAATTTCCATCGTTCATAGATAAAAATCATTGACCACTGAGTAGTCCAGATTTAAATCCATTAGACTATTCTATTTGGGACGAATTTGTACGATCCATCAACTGGACGATAGTAGCATCAAAAGATACACTCGTCGAAGAACTAAAACGTACAGTCAAAAAAATTCGACAATATGTTGTTTTACAAAGTTGATCATCTTGGACTGTTCGTTTAAAGCGTGTTTTAGTCAATGATGAACGTCACTTAAATAAATAAAAAATACACTATCTTGTAGAGCATCTCAAGACGAATCTTTATAAAAAAAAACAAAGCCCAAACAAATGAGAATTGATAGTGATATCAGTAAAATACCGAGAGGACCATTCTTTCTGGAACACCCGTTCCATATTCCATGAACATAATATGATTCATGTAGGCGGATTTTCGTGGAGAGATAAAATTTGATCAAGTCAAATTTATCTATCCAACTCGATCAACATCTATTGTTCTTAACAAATTTCAATGGAATATCAAGCCAGGTAAGTGAAATGAATTTTGATTTAATCAGATCATTAAAAATTTTAATTCTTTGATAAGGTCAACGTGTGGCTCTTGTTGGTATGTTTGAATTAGATACTTTTTTAAAAATATTAATTATATAATATGATGTATAAAGGTACATCCGGATGCGGAAAATCAACAATTATTCAATTGCTGGAACGATTCTATGATGTTACAAGTGGTCGAATAGTTAGTATTTCTTCAATATACACTGTAAAAAAAGCCCGCAGAAGAATGAATCATTATACTTTAAAAAAATTTCCCATAAACTCTTGAAGGGTCTGTACCGATGTCATATACTCTTCCAAGGTTTATGAGCCGAAAGGCGTATAACAGTGAGGATATATGAAAATGAGAAGAGTATATGACATCTATTTAAGGATATTTTATTCAACGTTTTCATCGAAAGTATTTATTATTCTACAATTTCAACAATAGGGCAGATTAGTCTACGAGTTTAGCTAAAGGGTTCACTATTTTACATAAAAGAATAGATTGTTCTAAGATTTGAGAAAAAAGGTTTATTATTCTTCCCATAAGGCATATTATCCTACGTTTTCATCTGAAGCGTTTATTATTCTAAGCGTAGAGGTAGAGCACTCTACGTTTTCTTCAGGAGAGTTTCTTATTTGTAGGTACAATGGTAGATTACTTTAGCTTATTTTTACGATATAATCATTCGGATAGTTGCCTCGTATCTTATGCGAAGAATAGAACAAGACGATTTAATTTAATTTTCTTTTCTTTGTTTAGTTATCGCGAGTGTTCTCCAGTATCTCATCATAGACATAGGATAAAATGATTTAGTTTAATTATTTTTCCTTCTACATTTCGATATCTCCGCAGCTTTTAATAGAATTATGCAAGCAATCGGAGAAGTTACTTTAGTTCGCTTTTCTTTTTCTTCATATAGTTATCTTGACAGTTGTCGCGTATTTTATGCTACAACATCAATAAGTTAATTTAGTTTTCTTTTCCTCTAATACTTATGCCGACAGTTTTCTTGCATCTTACAAGAGAAATTGAGAAAGTTAGTTTAGTTTACTTTTATCTTTCTTCATTGAGGTTTCCTGATTGTAGATGTGTACTATGTGAGAGAAACAGAATCAGAAAATTAACTTAACTTTTCTTGTCTTCATTTAGTTATTTCTATAACTGTCCAACATCTTATTGAGAAAAATCGAATAAGTTAGTGTAGTTTAACTTTCCTTTCGTTAGTCATAGTTGTTCACAACCTTATAAAAGAAATTAAATAACACAGTTCAGTTTGCTTCTTCATTCTGCGCATTTCATTCTATTCATAGTTTATGAGAATATAATGAACAAAATGGATTAAGTTTATTTACGTTTATTTTCTTTTCGTCATTGACTTTCTTAATAGTTAATTAGTTTTTTATGGACGAGAATATTTCAATAGAATTCACTTTATTTTTGTTGTCCTTGGTTTAGTTATCGTGATAGTTTTTCATGATCTTTGCAGGAGAATCGATTACCTTATTTTACTCTAATTTCCTTCGTCTTAATCAATTTCTGCTGATAGTTGTGGAGCGTTTTATGACTAAAACGAAAGAAGATAATTTACTTTTTTCTTTTCTTCTCGTCATTCAGGTGTTTTTATATTTTTTGCAACACGTTGTAAGACGAGTAATATGAAACCGTTCACTTTCGTTTTGTTTATGTATTCAGTCTTATATATTACTACACTCGAGTAATGATTGAGTGCTATGGGATTTTCAACCGTTTTGGTAATTTAAGAATCGTTTCGATAACTCTCGCGTAAACGCTATGCAATTCATAAAATAAAAGTTTCCGTTTACCGTCTCAGAAGCTCTCTTTAGGTTAATGATCGCCTTGAATACTTCTTTATATGGTTCCATATACCTTTGCATAAACTCATGGTACTAATCATAATCTTCATGAAGCTTCTCAAATACTCTTTTGATAATTGGTTTTAAGGTTATGTGAAAGTGATTAAGAAGTTCATGAGCCATTGCGAAGGGTTTATAAAAGGGTCTACGAAGATTTTATAAACTGTAAACAAGTGTTGTTTTATACGTTGCACTTTCATAAACCCTTTAGAGATTTATTATTCTACGGATTTTGTTTTACAGTGTATAGTTTAAGTACTCATATAAAATTTGTTCACTCCATCTAGCTTCTTGATGGTATCAATATTCGACGATTAAACCTTCAGTGGGTTCGTTCTCATATTGGCCTTGTTAGTCAAGAACCAATTTTATTCGATTTAACAATTGCTGAAAATATTGCATATGGATTAGAAAATGTTCCAATGGAAGACATTATCAATGCAGCACGTAGAGCTAATATTCATCAATTTATTGACCAATTGCCTCAGGTTAAACAATATAAAATTCTATAATATATCTATTACTATTTTATGATATATCTTTTTAGGGTTATGAAACAAAAGTAGGGTTGAAGGGAAGTTTTTTGTCAGGTGGTGAGAAACAACGTATTGCTATTGCTCGAATTATTCTTCGTCGACCTAAAATATTACTGTTAGATGAAGCTACAAGTGCCATGGATTCATATAATGAACAAGTAAATTTATTTTTTCTTTCTATTTATCAAAATAAAGTTTCGTCTTCATTTTCCAATTATAGCTTGTACAAGAAGCTCTAGAACAAGCTCAGACAGAAGATCCTAGTCGGACATCACTTATTATTGCTCATCGTCTTTCAACTATTCGTTCATGTGATTCAATTTGTGTACTTGATAGAGGACATATAGTGGAAACTGGTACTCATACAGAATTGACACAACGACGCGGAGCTTATTATAAAATGCTTCTTCAAAACAATTTACAATGATCATCATTGAACTATTTTGAAAGCGAAAATAAACTTTATTGAACATTAAGAGAAACTAAGGGATAGCTATCATGGGATCTAGGAGGAGCTGAGTTTTCCTGGAAAACTCTTGAGCTCTGCCAGGAATTTAATCTTCGTTTATTATTTTATGCTTTTTCCGCAAAAGATTTTCGAAATATATGCTATAAATTGACTTCACGAAGTATTTTATTTTAAGTGATTAATTAGTAAATTTTTGGTGTTTTTTTTAATATCCAAATATTCATTGAGACGCCACTGTCACTGTTCGATATTATTCGTCAACGAAGATACAGATTTAGTATCTCAGTTCGACTGGCTATCTGTGACAGGCCAATAACAGAAGATATGAACCGCCGAAAAAAATACAAATCTTATGAAATATAGTGTATTAATTTAAACAAACCATTATTTAGAAATAGTTGGGAACAATATGGATACAAAGAATCTAATAAACACAATCCTACTCTTGACAGTTTTGTCGTGTCTAGTAAGAAATCTCGCGAAGAGAATAGTAAAACAAACATGATATTGAATCAGCTATGTTCATCATGTTCCTTGTTACGTGCTTTTTCTATTATATCGAAAGACTTGAACTCTTCACTTCTATCTGCCTATGATTCAGTTGATACATTTGCAGTTCATTTGACAAATTTATTATCAAGTAGAGAAAACTGTCCATTACAATCATGCCTTGTTGGAGTGAATCGAACAAGTCAAGATCTACCTTCGTAGCCTGGTTTAGCTATTTATGCAAAAGATAGACATAATAGAGCATTTCAGGTACCTTGGTTCACAAATCAGTCCTGGTTAGAATACTCAGTAGAAAAAGATTCAGCATTTTGTTACTATTGTCGTCATTTTTCACATTTCATCGCATCAAATCGTATTCTAAAAGATGTGTTCATTAGACACGGTTTTCTTAATTAGAAGCGTTCTCCGGCACATGATAGAGGCTTTAACCAACACACTAACACTTAAGCACATAAAATGGCAAGTGCAAATTTTTTTAAAGTATCAATCACGTCAACAATCTTAGACAGCTGTACTTAACGTTCTTGATGAGTCCAGAACTGAACTAATTCATCAAAATACTAATAAGCTGATAAAAATTAGTTCGGCAATTTTGTTATGTGCAAAGCAATGTATATCTCATCGTGGTCATGATGAAAGTCTTGAATAACTAATTTTGGCTACCACTCTATTCATGTCCATGTATAATTAAAAAACTCTGTTTTCTACTTTCGGTTCAATTAATTGTGGTAATCTGATCGAGATATTAAATTGATCATCAACAATCGCTTTATTAGCAAAAGCTATTCTAGAGTAGAGCGCAGACAATGCCATATATTTATCATATCATATTCAAAATGAGTTAAAGAACATTATAGGAAACCAAATATGCGATAGAATTTTTAAAAAAGTAAGCAAAAAAGATTTTCTAATCCTAGTTTTGCTCAATTAAAACTGTGTTATATTATTTTAGTTAGCTGGAAATGTGTATGTTTTACTAGCTGATGAAGTAGTAAATGCTAGTCATAATGAACAGTTGTCTATTTGTCTTCGGTTTATTAATGATGAACATGAATGTGAAGAGTATTTCTTAGGATTTGTTCGTTTTTATGATTTTGATGCTGTTTCATTAGCAAAAGAAATAAGTAACTATTTGGTAAAGCACAATATTCCTATGTCAACATGTATAGCACAATGTTATGACTGGTAAATAAACATAGTTGGGTACTCAAGTTCTGTCATCTATAGAGTTTTTTCTTTAGTACTGCCATGATGTTCGGTCAATATAATGGAGTTCATATGAAATTACAACAATATTTTATGCCAAAAGCTATCTATATTCACTGTATGACACACAGATTGAATATAGTTATGTCACGTATCTTTGGTAGTTCTATATATTGATGGGTTTTTTCAATCATAGAAAAATTCATGATTATTTTGCACCTTCTGGTGTGAGTAACCGATATTTTTGTAATGCAAAGACACTCCTTAAATTAGGTAAAAAGAACAAATATTTTAATCTGCTAGTGTAACTCGATCGATGCTTTTTCAATTAGCTACAACATCCAAATTGAAAAAATGAGAAATTACTCATTGGGATGCTAGATTCAAATCTATTGATGCGATTAAAAATTATTTCTTAGCAATTATTAAAGTACTTGAAGATTTAGTGAAGAATGATAGAAATCGTGCAGTAGATGGAAGAGGTTTGTGTCTAGTTATGAAGAAATCAAAGTTTACAATGACAATGTTTATTTTACACCGTTTATTATGACCGATAAAGGTTCTATCTGATCAGTTGAAAATAAATTTTTTTTTTGTTCATATGAAATCTTCTTTTTTTAATGTTCTCTTAAAGGTATTTGTGTTAATCTTGGCTCAGTAAAGAACTTTGTATCAACACTTTGTAAACAATTAACTGATATGAAAAATGAGTAATCATTAAAAGGAGTTATATGATGAAGCAATATTATTTGGAGAGACAATTAGTGTGAATATGAATGAATCTAATCGAATCAGACGTCAAAAAACAAGTCCATCAAGATTTAAAGGCTGTTTAATTACAATATCATTGGGTCATCGAGATAATTATACCAATGAAGAGAGATTTCAAATAAGCATGTGTCTTTCAATAATTGATTGTAATCTTACAGAATCACATGATCGACTATCTTGCGGAAAGTTAGTAATAACAGAAACTATCTCATCCCGATCAGCATCTAGTCAAAATTTGTTGGACCTTCTAATGTTACAATCCTTAATTGATCACTTATATTTAGATAATTCTATGATAAAAAATAAAATTACAGTTATACAACCTATGCTTAAAAATAAAACATTATTAACTATATGTAATTTATTTAATGAATTAATGCCAATGAAAGATACATTTCCTTCAATTGTTGAATTGATCAAAAGTGACATTACATTTCCACTATCGTCGTTTACATGCAAGAGAACATTCTCAAAAATGAAGTTAATCAAAACATACGCTCGAAATTCTATGGGAGACGAACGATTAAGTGATCTTAGCATTTTGACTGTTGAGAAAGAGTTCATAATTGACTTTGAGAAAGTGGTCGATGTTTTTGCAACTAAACATAAAAATAGTAGAATAATCTTGATGTGAACAAGAAATTTTTGATAAATAAAAATTTTAATTAGGAATTCATGACTTGTCGATTTATTTTTAAAACTTGAAGAATGTGTAAGTGAATAGAATTTCACACAGTGAATAGTAGCGCCGATCTTAAAAGATGTAAAACACAAAAAATCAAGACAATTGAAAATCATGTTTCTATCAAATTCAATTGCGTCCATTAGCGTCATCTCTGTATATTAGTAACTAAGCCAAAGAATGAGTAACCAATAAAATAAATGTAGAATCTTTTTTCTCTCTCTCAATTTACTTTTTGATTGTTATGAAAACGAAGCATCAATTTTGTTCGTTGACTTTTAACATGTCCTTCCTTTTGACTAGAAAATAAAAATCAATTTGATGTGTATCATTCAGGTTATGTTCAATCTTAACTTCTTAAAACATTTTATAAATCTGAAAAGTCTTTTCAAAATTAAGATATGATTATTTTTTTTTCCTGTCAAAAATATCATATTATCATTCTTCAAACATTTCTTCATGCAATTATTGAAGTTATTATCAAGAAAAATGAAATATTCGAATAATATTACAGTTTTTCACATTCTGACCTTTTAGATTGCTATTTTGTATTAGATTGGTTTATTAATTTGTTTTAATTGCACATTATGTAATTGTCAAAATATTTCAACTTGTTTTAAAATTGTGATATGTTGAATGATTGAAAGTCTATGAATGAATTATCAATTAAAACTTTTTTATAGACTTGCCAACATTTAATAAGTATTTATTGACACTTTATAATCGGAACTGACGACAAAACTTTGCTAAGTGATCTATCATTGTTGATATAAGTCGTATGTCATTACTTAGACTTTTCTCTGACTGGAGAAGCTTAAAATTCTTCGTGCTCCTGAATCTGTCTTTTTGAATTATGAGCATTTTAACAACATTTTCAACAATTTATTGTAGTTCTCCTAAAATTATCTTCAAAAATAAGTTTCGACTTTCGATTTCAAACTAAGTTCTCAACATGATTATTTCATTGTAAAAGTATGAGATTTTCTAATATCTCTACTTTTACAATGAATTAGTTCCATGGATATACTAAACTGCACAAGATTTCAATTCGAAAGTTGATTCTGAAAGGAATCGTAGGATGTTATTGACAAATTCATTAAGATAGTCATTACGGAAGAAGAAAGACTAGCAGACACGAATCATCTTCGAATTCCTCTATTATTTATAGAATTTAACTATTGAGATAAGACTCATCTCAAAAACAATTTATCATATTGTGGTACTTCTTCATAAGTTTGAAGAAATGATTTGTCCATTTCCTGAATGATTATTCTTCATATGAGTAATCTTTATTCTCATGGTAGAAATTTCTATCATAACATTCAAGTGTTCTTAGGTAATAAAATGAGTCATTTAGATTTATAAAAGTTACTAATATACAGAAATCAATCATAATAAAATTGAATGATTATCTTAAATCAAGTTTCCTGTCCGTTTGACAATATGTATAATAACAACAATTATCAACATAAGTGAAATTTTTAATTATTTCTCATACACATCCCATTGTTCTCTTTGCAATGTTATATCTATTTATAGTATAGACCTATTTTACGTTATCTTCTTTTAATTAAGAAAGAAAAACAAAAACTCATCTATTAATTAATTTTAACTATATTTTTTTGTCATGTTGAGGAGTACAATCGAGTAAGTGATATTTGAAAAAGTTTGACTAACTATCATTTTAATAACAAAGAAAAACAAAAAAAAGAAAAAGAAAATATTTGATTTGATTTCAGATAAAAAAATGACATCTCAAATATGTTGTTATATATTTGAAAATCATCATGGTCTTATATTTAATCCTGATTCTATTCGTATTCTTCGTGAAAAATATCGAATTGTTGGTTGTTTAACAGGAAATTTACCCGAATATCCTCGTCAAAATAATGAACTTGGTTTACCACTTGAATTATCACGTGAAGAATGTTGTGTATTAGCTGATCAACAGATTATTTCTATGTATGAAATAATTTTACCATTGAATAATTCTGAACAAGATCATCTTCAATATCTTACTGAAATTGATATTGAATTTCAAAAACAAAAAATACAAAATGGACATGAAAAAATTAATGAAATTTTACTTAATCGTCAATCGATATTACAAAAAAAAATTCAATCATTCAATGAAAATAATTTTGAAAATGATGAATTTATTTTATCTTTACTTGAAACAAATAATGCATGGCAAAATTGTTCAAAATCATTAGAAGAAAATGAACGAATTTTTTTATTAAATATAATTCAACAACGTCTTAAACAATTTACATTAGAATATATGTTTATAAAACTTCCTATTGAATCAAAACGAATAAATTTACAAATACGTTTAATTACTAGTGAAGAACTTAAACAAAATTTAAAATTAATTGAACAATTACGTTGTGATGTTTTTGCTGATTTATATTTAAATAAAAATCAAAAATATTGGATATCGAATGGACAAAAATTTGGTGGTGATTATCTTGTTTATTTCGATGATCCATCACGATGTCATTCAACATTTATTGTAACATGTGTTTTAAGAAATGAAATTGAACTAAATTCTACTATTATTCCATTAACACATCTTATTGCTCGATGTCGTGTTGCTGTTAATGTGAATAAAATATGTGTTTTAGCTAGTAGAAAATCTCCAATATCATCTGATATTGAATATTTAACGATTAATTGGAACGGATTTTAATTCAATAAAAAAAAAAAGTCTTTCTCGTTTTCTTATTAGAATCCAATACAAGTTATTTGAGATTTGTCATGAAAGATTGAAAAAACCATTGGATAAAGATTAAATAGAAATCTATTTTTTTTAAGCATTTCATTGACATTCTGATCTAATCTTTGCTACATCTGATTAATTTAATTTTGTTTTCAAATGATTTCAGTGCTCTACGACATCACCAAATATTACGAAATTTTGATTTTCTTACATTATAACACCTGTATCCTCTTCAACGATGAAAGTAAACTCTCTAAAATTTTTATCCTTAATAGAAACCATTTAGATCTACTACTAGTAAAGATTTCATTGAGATTTCTTCAGTCAGACCTGAATTGTTCAATTTTCTATAGGTTCTCTAAAGGTATATATATATATCAATTTAATCGAAAGAAAAACTAGACAAGGAAAAATGTCGAAAATGTTCCAGATATCATTAAATGATGCTGTTAAGAATGTGGATATAAGTCCTCAGTTCATCCACACTTCGCACCACACATATATTCATCTCGCTGATCGAGATTCTCAAAATAAACTTTTTGTCAACATTTTTTTTCTTTCAATCAAATCAATATTATTCTTCTTAAATATTAGATCACTTCTTAATAAACATAACAACATCGAACAAAAAAAACAACTTAAATTTTTGTTTGTTACGAAGTTTCATCCTTTTTTCAAAAATAAAACAAAAACAAATCAAAAATAACCACATATTCATCATTAGTGTCGATTTCTGCATCACATGATGTATTTTTTGCATTAAAATTGAAGGAAAAAATTTTTTCAACGTTTTTTTATACACTCAACAAATCAAATCAAAAAATGGAAAGGAAGGAACGAATATGATGTGTATTTTAATAATTAAAACTTTCTAAAAGCGATTTATCTATAATGTAATGTGTCTATTTTACGAGAAACAACAGACAATGTCAAACGCTGCAAATTTTTCAGAAAGTAATCTCTCAAAAATCGAAAACGTTTTTCATGAAACTTGAAACTATCTATTACCTTAGGCAGTGTCTTATGCTATTTTGAATGTGATATTTGAAAAGAAAAATGATCCATCATAAAGAATTTAAATGAACATCGTAATATGTTTCTTGTTCATTACATTATAGAAATCGTTTTTAAGAAGTTTTAGTTATTCAAATGTAGTTCATTTTATTTCCTTTACATTTATATGAGTTCCGTTTTTCTTTAGGACAATTCTAAAAAAACGATAATTCAATTTAAACAATTTTGTGAATATAGACAACATAGAAAATTTAATAGTTTAAAAATCTTGCAATTTTTAGATACACATTCTATAAAACAAATGCGAAATTTAAATTAAAACTATGCTTAAAATGATTGCATTCGATAAATACGATTGATTTCTGACTGATGATGTTGTTTTTGTTGTGAAAATAAGCAATACAAGCAAGTAAAAACTCACTCTACACATATTTCGTGACGAAATTTTATAAAAAATAAAGATGGTTTGTGAACACATTATCTTGGTTCATAACCATCTAACAATTTGCATAAAGGCCTTATGTTGAAAGAATACTTTCATATTCTATCGATTAATATCCAAGTGAAAAATTTTTTTAACGATCTATTCCACTATCATCTTTAACATAAATTTTTGAGTTACAATTCAGTTTCAAAAAACGCCAAACCTCTGTATGAAAGCTTTCACGTATTTGAAACATTCAAGATTTCTCAGAAATAGAAACACTTCCATTTCACATACTATCGATTGTGTTTTTTTTTGTCAATGATAGATTCAGTTTTCTTGACTCTCAAGTTCGAACCTTTTCCATGTTTGAGTGATCTATGGTTGGTCATGACGTCTAGTGAACAGAAATTATTGTTGTGATATTAAAATGTATAAAAAACGCGGAAAAAAATTATTTTTTTGATATTGACAATGGCGGATCCAGAGAATTTTGAAAGGGATGGGAGATGAGAACAAATTATTGACTATTTTCGTAATGATTTTTCTAATATTGTCTATTATCAGTTGTTTAAATCTATAGAAATAAAAACAACTAAGAAATAAATCATACCAGAAATTCTAGTTTTCTATTTATTCATTTTTGATAAATTGTCGATAATTTGTTCGATATCAATATGACTTATCGAACGTACATACATCACAGCTAATCCATTCAGAGAATTTTCATCTATGGTACCTTATTAATTATCGATAGAACGAGCGAAAATGAATCGTTAACATGATCATTGGCTATTTCCTACGTAGAGCATATGTATATATATAAATTGTTGTCCTACTCTGAAATCGTTCATTCCAGAATGCAACCATTTTAAACTTAAAAATAGTGAGAAATCTACACTACTTGTCTTTGTAAATCTCATAGAAATACAGTAATACTTAGAACATAGAATACATAAATTTCAAAGAGAGAGGGAGTCGCTGCTCTCGCGTCCTTCATGAATCCACCATTGGATACTAAAGAAATATTTTGATGTTGATTTTCGATTGATCATGTTGAGATACTATTAATGTTTGTGTTTCTTCGAAAAATCATCTATGAAAAAATTCTATCGACGAAAAGGAGAACATTATTTTATTTAATTAAAAATTTACAAATAATAAACTAAAGATTAAACTTTTTTTTCTTTTCTAAACAAAATTAAGCGTAGATTATTTGATTTGTTTATTGATCAATCCATAAAATTCTTCTCTTCATAATTTTTTGTTTATCATTATCATCAACCTTTCTATGTATGTTAACAAGCTCGTATATATACAAGGAATTAGCTATTGCTTATGTACGTTATTCAAATTGTTTCTCTTGCTCTCCTGTTGATATATATATATATATGTACATGTACTTCATCATTACTGACCAAAGAATATACACGCCCATGTTTTAATGTTTATTTATAAGTTGAAAAGATTAATAGATAGTTATTTTTTTTTCTTGATAAAAATGTTGATATTCTAATTTGTAAATCTCTAGAGGAGTAAAGCAAAAACAAAAAAAAATAATATATGCGGCATATTCATTTATGATAGAGCTTCTTTCACTTCACTCGTGCCCAAAGTTACCCGATGTCTATATTTTCTTTTCAATTTACTTCTATTCGAAATGTTGTCGTTGCGTGAAAGACACTCAAATCATATATATATATATATATACATATGTATATACACCTTTTTTCGATGTTGTTGATAATAAAAATAACACAAGCATACTCGATTGATTATTTGGTTTTGCTTTTTCTTTACATCGTTTGCATTTGAATTGGATTTCAATTTTGTTCTCTTTCTCTCATTTTTATTTATCTTGATCGAACATACATATATATATATACAGAAGAAAGAACAAGAAAAAAAAAAGATTTGATGATTAACGTTTCTATTTGTTCATGAAAATTAATCATCAAAAAGATTACTTCTTATGCAATTGATAAACCTTCTGTTCAAGAAAAAAAAAAGAAAACTTTGCTCTTTGAAATTAATTAATCGAGTGGTTAATACTCAATATTTTTTTTTTCTTCTTTTGAATATGAAGTGTGACAAAAGTCAAATTGCTTGTATGATTATGTTCTTGAGTGTGTCGAGCGGATCTAACGTTTTCTATATTCAAACAGCAGGAGATTGACTTATTCCTCTCGTTGTCACACATATAACCATCATGTTGTTCATTAGTTATTGTTATGTTGCCGACTAGTGCCTATCGCTGTAGGACACATTGATGATGATGATTACATTCAACATGTTTGATCTTAGTTTGCTTATGGCAACAATATACCTGAGTTTTTCTTCTCAATTTACAAGAAAAGAAAAAGAAATAAGAATGATTTATCTGATTAGAAGACCTTGATCTGTGATTTCGTCTGTCATCATGTAATCGATCAAATAATGTCAATATACATTTTTTTTGTCTCGCGCATCGTTACACACACCACTTATTAGAATGAACAGCGTGAAATGTCTATATATTGATCACAATCAACTAATGATGGTGGTCCACGAATTTTTTATTCTACATATACAAAAAGAAAAAGACCTCAATTATTAACACAGTAACTTATAAAATACAAACAATCGAATTTTCTACCGTTAAATTTAATTATTTATCTTATACACTATTCAATCCGCCCATATATATATATATACATGTATGTATGTTTTTCTAAATCCATTCATACTATTTGAATAATACGCCATGTGTGCGTGTGCATGCGCTGCTATTTGAACTAATGTAATCGGATATGATCTCAAAAAAAAAAAAACGAGGGATTTATAAATTTCGAAATTTTTAATATGTTGTATGACATTGTAGATAGTATAATTATTATAACATGAAACAAGCTGACGACAATCAAAGATCAATTTTCGAATGATAATGATGCTGCAAACAGTATTGATTTTCCTATTGTATTCATAGGAAAACATAACGAGGACAAATTGAGAAAGAGAAAGACTAATGTCAAATGTATGTTTATATGATGTATGTAACAGATGTTAATGATGATGAAAAAAGAGAAGCTTATATGTTCTCAACGTTATTGTTTCGTTATAGTACAAACAATACAAACTTAGATCTTATATTTGCAGCAGCTTGATAAAGTTTTATTATTACTTTTTCTCATACAAAAAAAAAAAGAAAGAAAGAAAAAAAAAGAAAAGAAAAAAAAAATTTAAAAATCAAAAGTTTCTTTTACAACACTGACCTCGTTTGATTTGGTGAAATCGAACTAGCTAAAAGTGTCTGATGATGATGTCGTATTGCTTCACTTGCTGCAATAGCTTGAAAAAATTGTTGTTGACGTAAGGCAGCGGCTGCTGATGCATAAAATGCAGCAGAATATGGATGTGATGGAGTTAAATTTGAACGTTTTAATGCTGCTAAACGATTATTTCGTGATGTAGATGTTCGACGTCGAAGTTTACCAGTTGTTGCACCAATAAAAACATCATCAGCTGATGGATCAAGCATCCAATAATTTCCTTTACCTTGAAAAAAATAACAAATTAATAACAAATTTTTTTTGTTTTTTTGTTTTTCTTATTTATTCATACCGGGATCATCATAATGTCGTGGAACTTTAACAAAACATTTATTTAATGATAAATTATGTCGAATAGAATTTTGCCAACCTTGTTTATTTTCACGATAATATGGAAAAGTTTTCATTATATATTCATAAATACCATTTAATGTTAAACGTTCATGTGTTGATGATCGTATAGCCATCATAATTAAAGCATTATATGAATAAGCAGGTTTAATACCATATTTATTTTTTGGTACTGATGTTGTTGTTGTTGTTGTTGATAAATTTTGACTATTTGTACCATCTGAACCAGAATCACTTGAAATTGATGATGAAGATTTTTTTGTTGATTTTGATTCTTCATCTTCTTCTGAGCTTTCAATATCAATTTGATCATTTTCTTCATCAATAATTGTTCGTTTTTTTGTTGATAAATCATTTTCATTTTCATCTCGTGTTCGTTTTAATGAATTTATTGAAGTAAAATATTCATTAGTTTTATTTACCGTATTATTATCATGATCATTATCTTTTCCAAGAACACTTCGAATTGAAAATGAACTATGAAAAACATGTTCTTGCATGGCGATCTTTTTCTTTTTTTTATTATTTGTCTAAAGAAAAAAAAACTTGAAATAATTACAATAATGATTTTCTCGATGACAATGTGTCACAAGTAACAGCCTGTTTGATCAACAAAAGTGATGCACATCTCTCGAAACAATTTTTTTTTTTCTTCTTTCTATTTGCATACAGAATGAGGTGTTCGTGTTCATTATTTTTCTTCTTCTTCTCTTAGACCAATGTTGATGCAGTTTGCTTATAAATGGTTGGTCAAATCGTTTGAGAGAGAGAGAGAGAGTCAGAAAGAAGAAGTTTTTTTCTTCCTCTTCGCTTTTCTACGGTAGCCAATGTTTGTAAAACAGAACTGCTTTATTTTCACCAATAGAAAGTAAATATTACTAAGAAAAAGAAAAAAAAAATTAGGGCTTCAATATCTATAACGAGGAAGACAAACAGCGTAAAATATAGTTCGAAAAAAAAAAAAAAAACTTTTTTCAAAATTATAATTCAATCTAAGAATGAACTCTATAGCACGTAATAAAGAATAAAAAAAACATGAAGACTATACTTTCACTTATCATAATTGTTTACATTGGAAAAAAAAAACAATTCAGAGTAAATGACGTTAATCATTCTGATAGTTTATTATTATAAGATGGCAAATGATGAAGTAGTTTCGTTTGACTACGTGCAAGAATATTATTGACTCATAAATATGTGTTATGATATTTGTATAAGAATAGATATATTGTGTTATACCATGTAAAAAAAAAAATAAAGAGGTCTATATACATTTATATTGTGATTAGTTAAAAATATAATTTGCTTAGATTTTCTTTTCTTTTTTGTTTTTTCAATGAACAATAGTAAACGTGAGTGTGTGTTCATTTTGTGTCGATACATAAAGACTTTAGTACATCTCTTTTGATCTGACCTCAAATAATGGATGATGTATGTTGAATACTTCACAAATACATATATACAAAAGAAAGATATTCATTTGCGCTTCATCAAATTTCAATGGTCAATGACATTTTCACTTCATAAATTGTCGCGAACATGAGATTAAGAATATAATAATGATAATTGAATAGAAAGAGAATAGAATATATATACACCGCATTTTGTCTTCTTTTTTTTTTGTTGTTTAGTAAGTAGATGTTCAGATTAGAACTAGTCAATATAATGACAAAGACAAGTTCAATTATCTCTTTTTTTTTTTGTCGCTTCAATATAACAAAAAAAAGAAGAAAAAGTACAATACACAAAGTGTAATTATTCATTTCGTATGAAAATTTTTCTTTTGATTGATCCTCCTTCTCTTTTTTTTTTTTTTGTTCTTTTATATATAAAATGTATGATAGGCGTCAGATTTTATCATTATGTCTCAAAAGATTTTAGCATCATATCTATTTCACTGCAGTCGAAAATAGTTTATTGGCCTTTCTTTTCTTTTCTGTTTGGAGATAATAGATTTATTGTGAAAGAAATTTAAGTTTGATGTCAGCTGACGAGCATGAAGAAAAAAAAAAAAGAAAAGTTATAATAAAGATAATTAACAATAATATGTATACCTTTGAGAGAGAGATAATTCAGGGAAAACTGAAAGGAGTGTCTATACAATTTTTTTAAAGAGCAGAAGAGGTGTGGAATTTTTTTTCTGATTATGAAATTGACTTTTACTTAGAAGAAAAAGAAATTTTTCTTTAACTTCGGGGAAGAGTACACCTCCCTCATCGTTATATCCTTGCACTCTTGTATCACTTAATATCATAAATGTACTAATAGATGAGTATTTCAAGATACGAGTGTTATAATCACTTATCCATAGAAGCTAATTTCGGCGATAGGGAGACAGTAATTATGATGAATAAATGTCTTTGATGTTCATTCTGAATGATCTAGTATTTTCTAAATTTGTTTGTTACTTGTTATTATTCATTTATCGTTGCAGGTAGATAAATAAAAAAAGATTCGATGTACTTGAATTGCTATGTCTTTGGAAGCGAGTTGTGACATAAATATATTTATCTTTGATTGTTGTTCAGTAGTTGATCTCAAACGAATCAATTAACATTCATATTCTTCTTTTGTAGTACACGATTTAAAAGGAGTGTTTAAGTACAGAGATAAAAATTTGGACTCTTCCTCTCGTAGACCTTGACAGATGTTATTGTTATACGATATGAATTACTTCCTTATTGCATTTCTGAAGGATTAAGTGAAAGAATGGTGAAGAAATATGTCCTAAAATACTTAGGGTTGATCAAAAATTCTAAGCTTGGTGTTTAAAGGACCTTGTCGAGTAAGGTAACTAATTCAGAAATGAAAAATCAAATATGCCATGTTGTAGAGCTTTCTGAGATGTGTCGAATGGTATATAGTAAATCCTGTTTTCATAAAACTTTGAAGAAATTCGAGTCGATCTATTGATAGGTAACTATTCACTCGCAACCAAGCATGATGGTTACTGAATATTTTGATCCTTGGTATTAGTCGAAAATATTTGTAAAATATTTTTTCCTCACATACGATTTAGTAGAGTTTTTGGCGGACTACAACTTCATATACGTAGCATCTTCGGTCATCTTGTGGGTATGGGTGGATATGTAGTCGTCTATCAGTGAATTGACTCTAGTTTCTTCAAAGTCTTATGAAAATAAGATTTACTATATAGCATTCGACACGTCTCAAAAAGTTCTACAACATTGGATATTTGGTTTTTCATTTCTAAATTGGTAACATTATCCAACAAGATCCTTTAAACATCGGGTTTAGAACTTTTGGTGAACCCTAAGTAGTTAGAATTAAGGGAATACCCTCCTTTCTAGAGTTTCTCGGTTATGACTCAACGAAAAATGATGAGACTTTCACGGCAGATAGATCTTAATCAGTAAAACAAAGGTTATTATAGACTTGAAACTTCCAGATGCTTCCTTCAAGGAGATATGGGAGTCACAAACGCCAAAAACAGCCAGAGGTTTGCTTCCAACAAGACTCTATACTTCATTTTTTTTTCGAGCTGCAATTTTTTTTATGATAACTAGGATGAAATTGAGATGCAGTTTTTTTGTAATGGTATTAATATTCTAAAGGCTGCTGAATTTTGTATGAACAACATTTTCAAGAAAAAAATACGAATCCCAATTTGGCCAAAATTCTCATAAAATTGTGACTGATTGAACGTACCATGTGAGGAAAAACTTCATTTTTTTATTCAAAAATTGATTTTAAGAATATTAGTAATGAAAAATCAAAAATCGAAAAAAAACTTTTGATTTTAACATCCGGACAAGGAAAGGATCTCCTTCAGCAATCTCTCTATAATTAAGAATAATAGCTACATCGTATTACACATTTTAATCTTGCATAGATGGTGGTATCAACTTGTGATTAATGATCACTAGCGACATCTTTTTTAATATTTTTCTATAGGTTTACTATGAATAACCTATATGAATTAGTAACAAATAACAGTCATTACAAACTTTTCCGACTAGTACATAGTACAAAAAAAAAGTATAGTTTCGAAATATTTATTTATTTATGATTTTTTATAGATTTTATTTTTTTACATACTGTTATATTGAACAATGCTTAAAGGTTTAACATGGCAAACGCTTCGAGCGAATTATTCGTTAATACCACTTTTTTCTGTTGTTACTCTTGGTGTGGCAATGGCAGCTGGACACTCCTTTCGTAGTTTGTATTGGTCACCTGATGTTAAAGCTAATAGAACTAATGCCGATCGACCATGGGAAGTACAACTTAATGATGATGGTTCATTTAAACATGCAAAATATATTAAACTTCATGATTATCGTAAATTAAAGAAAAGTGAATATGAACCAGAACTCGACTAATGAATAATGCTGAAATATTTTTTTTTTTTTCGTTTGTCCAACATTGATCCTAAAGATTACAGATCTATTGTAATAAATAGAAGTAGTTTATGTCCACATTCTTTTTTGTTTTATTATTACATAGTCCCGGTTTCTTAAAATTGAAAGAAAAAAAACTCAATTTCTTTTTTCGCTGACATCTTTCTATTTTCAGATGGCCTATCAAAGTCGACCTCCTGAACAAGCTCCATTAGAATTTCCTTATATTGGTAGGTGAAAATTATACATATATATATATATATATATTCAGACTTTTTTTTTCAAATTAATTATAATTTAGGTGATGTAAATCAATATGAACGTATTGATAAAATTGGTCAAGGAACATTTGGGTAAGAAATTTTTGATTGTAAAAATTTATCTTAAAAAGAAAATAATAATTTATTTTTTTTTTCATTTCTTTTATAGAGAAGTATTTAAGGCTCGTTGTAAAAAGACAAATGATTTTGTTGCTATGAAATTAATTTTAATGGATCAAGAAAAAGAAGGTTTCCCAATAACAGCATTACGTGAAATTAAAATTTTACAAGAACTTCGACATGACAATATTGTTCGTCTTATTGAAGTTTGTCGATCAGCAAGTATGTTTATTTTAAAATCTCGAAAATGGAAAATAATTACTAATGAAATTCGAAGATTCGATCTAGTTCATATTCAATTTCATTTATTTATTAGAAGAGGAAAGAAATAAACCGAAAGAAAGAATTTTAAGTTTGACCACAAATAATCCAACTACTTGGTTAAAAAAAACAAGTAATCCGAAAGTTAAAGGATAGAAAAATGACAATAGTATTTACTAATATCCAAATCCGAACTTAAACTGAACCAAAGTTTTTGGATGTTTTTAATTTTGACATGACCACTTGGAGTTCATGAGGATCTCAGTCAGTTTCATTACACTGTTATAAGGACACAATCTTAAATGAAACTGGTCATCTTCCAGATATGCTCTAATGAAGACTAATAGTAGGTGAACCTAAACGTTCGACTATGGTCTTAACTGTAGTTAATTAATAAAAAGAAGTAAAGGCGAGTCAATAGAAATGATTTCGGAATTGATTATGATAGATTTATACAAAACGGAATACATAAACCCACAAAGGAAAGTCTATAGGCATTATAAAAAAAAAAAGGTCAACAATCTTCCAAAATATTCAAACTTGAGCGAACTGTTAGACTACACTCATGATTGTTCATATGTCCCCAAAAACCGCTTGAGCAATGATCGGAATACTCGACACTATTGAAATCAGTTGTATACTACTAAAACTATAATTCAAACAGTTCCTAATGGAAGTTCAGACTTACTCCATGCCTAACTATGAGTCCTTATTCCGAAGTTATGAATCAAATATTTGTTTAAGGACTTCTATGGTAAACATTATTTAAGAAATCGTCTTATGCCAATACTCTATATATCCAGTGGGCACCAAAATTATTCAAAAAGATTTATTTTCAATTTTTTTTCCACTGCCGTAAGCGCTAGGAAGAATCTATATTGTGACTCGAGAGTACAAAATGAGCCGTCTTCGAGTTCTCTGTTAGGTTTTTTAACTGAGATACAGCAATCTTACGGAAACCCCTAAAGTCGCTTCTTGACAACTTGGAGACATCTCATTTTGTAGAAGGAGAGTTTACTCTAGTGTTATATTTAGGCGTTCTAAGTATTGAAAAAATAGGATTTTGGTTTTGTGGAGTTCCTTTCTTTGAAAATCTGGTAATCATTTTTATTTCCTTATATTCTTGTTGGAAATCATTTTCTCTATTCGAATCACTATTTGAATTCTTTATAACGCTTATGTCAGTGAAAAAGTTATTGAAAATAAACCTTGTTAAATAATTTTGATATCCATTATATATAGTCGATACTCTATTAGTAATTTGTTAAATTTCACTTTCTTAGCTATAGCTGTTACAATCTGTATATTAATTTTTCGACTAATTTGAAGAAAGAAAAAGTTTCATTTATTAATATGTTTTATTTTTATTTATTCTCTAGTGGATAAATCTTCTCGTAGTAAATTTTATTTTATATTTGAATTCTGTGATCATGATCTAGCGGGTATATTACGAAATCCTAATGTTAAATTTAGTCTTGGTCATATTAAATCTATAATGCAGCAATTATTAGATGGTAAATTTAATAAAAAAAAATATGTCTTAAAAATTTTACTTAACAATATATTTCTAGGTCTATATTTTATTCATAAAAATCATATTATTCATCGGTAAGTTTAAAGATGACAAAGAAAAAAGATGAATAATATTGATTTAATCAATTTTAGTGATATTAAATCAGCAAATATATTAATAACACGTAATGGTGTACTTAAACTTGCTGATTTTGGTCTAGCGAAAGTGATAACACCACCAAAACGTAAGTTGAATAATAAAAATAAATTTTTTCAAAATTCTTTTCTTTCTGAATAGCTAATCATCAAAATCGATATACATGTCGAGTTGTTACTCTATGGTGAATATTCAAATGATAAATTTCTTTTTCAATTGTTTATTATATATATATATGTATTTTTGTTTTGTAGGTATCGTCCACCGGAATTATTATTAGGTAAAAGATAATAATGCAAAAAACAAAATAAGTTTTAAAAATTATTTTTTATTTTCTAGGTGAACGTGATTACGGTCCGGCTATTGATATGTGGGGTAAGTTTTTATTTTTTGAAATTTTAGATTATATTACTTTTTTTTTATGTTATACTTAGGAGTTGGATGTATTTTTGCAGAAATGTGGATTCGTTCTCCTATAATGCAAGGTAAATTAAAATAATCTTTTCAAAGATTTTATATGCTAACAAGTAGAGCATAGTAAATAGTAGCATTTTACATTTTGTTGTTTTTTAATTATTTAATACACTTTATAGTAAAAAAAAAATGAAATATACCACAAGACGCAGCATAAAAAGTTGTACAATTTACAAAAGAACAGTTTATTTTATGTGTACTCTTTTGTTTTCAATATGGATAAAATCTTATACGATCAATGTTATGTAGTTCGTATACACCTCTAATAAGTAATATCAGAATGAATTGGAATACATATTGATTAGTCTTAATCTAGCCATTGATATAGCTCAGTAACCGACACGATAAGAAAAGGCATTTGTCGTGTATCAATAAATGATCTTGTTCGCATCATCGAAAATTGGTCGCACAAAACCATCTTCTAGTCAGGATTGTCGATATTTTTTAATGGTGGAAGGGGCTAAAAATTCGTCAGAGCGCTTTCATGTTTGAGGTACTAGACACACTGTTCCTTCCACCGGAGAGTAGGGAAAGCCCTTTCTCCCACAACCGAGAACCATGCTTGTGATATATCTTGTTTTGTTAATACAATGTATTAAGTGATTAAGAGTTGAAATGCAAGATGTGGCCACTTATTATACTCCATCTGTTACATTGTTCATTTTCTAAATCTCACACTCACATCCTGAATCAGACTAAATGTAAATGCAATTTTCCTCTCATTTAAATTTACATACGAAAAGATAGACAAGTATGTAGGTTTTTCCAGTTAAAGTTCAAGCGACATGTTTTCTTCAAAATCCACTAAAAACCGAGTAAGCTCCAAAATAGATCAGCAGAGAAAGTGGAATGATTAGAGGAAGTAACTTTTAACTTTGTTTAAAACTTATTTCCTCAAACACGTATCCTATTATTTCGAGTGCTCTATCTGTGATAAGAATTTCATGCGGATTGGTTGTACCGTCTTCGAGAATCAGAAATGATCGAAAAGAGGTTGAAGAGTCCCTTAAGCTCTTTTCGTGTTGAATCTTGATTGTAGATACTTAGCCTTTTGTCTACTTCCGATCTTTATTTATATTATGTATTAAAAGATGTAACTTCTTTTTTTTTCCTTTGTTAGGCACTACTGAACAACATCAACTTGAATTAATATCTCATTTATGTGGTAGTATAGAGCCAAGTGTTTGGCCAGGTGTGAATAAATTACCATTATATACAAAATTAAAATTACCACAAAATGAACGTCGTAAAGTTCATGATCGAATGAAACCATATATACAAGAACCATTAGCACTTGATTTAATTGATAAATTATTAACATTAGATCCAAAACAACGTATTGATGCAGATAATGCTGTTAGTTCAGATTTCTTTTATTCTGAACCACCATTAGCTGATTTAAAACCACTTTTATCAAAATATCCATCGATGTTTGAACTTAAAGAAGTTTCACGTAATGCATATAATCCACAAATGCAACAACAACAACAACAGCAACGTATAAAACAAGCACGACCAAATGTACCTAATTTACCATCAGAACCAATTTATTAGAAAAAAAAAATTTTTTCTTTTTTGTTTATGTTATACACGATGAATAAATAAAAAAAAAACATTCATACATGTACAGATTTATATAAAAATATGATCTTTCTTTATTGATTTTTCAGATGTCAAATAGAATTATTGATCCAGGTGTATCAATTAAAACTTATGATATTCTTAATTTTGTACGTAATATAATTAATTCTATTTTAATACTTCTCATTATCGAGAATTTTACAAAATTAAATATCTATTCTTATCTTTCGATTATGGTTAACAGCGATGGTTAGAATTCGTCAGATCCAACATTTTTGAATCCGGATCGTACACTTTTAATTTCAACGAAATTTTCTAATATAAGTACGATAGTCGCTTCAAATTCTACTACTAACATTTCTCTCGTAATAATCAAGTCATCATTGGTTGTTACTTTTAGGATATGGCTCGTTGAGTCGATCTCCGCCGGCTCCAACAATAGTTTATTCCATCGACTTAGACATCTAACTGCTAGTTTCTTTTGTGAAACACGATCTAAAAGAAGTGTTGAAGTATAGAACCGCAGACATTTTTAATATATTATCACAAGCAATATATGAATAACGTTTCGTTCTAATATGTGAATCACTTCCTGATTGTATCTCTGGAGGATTTAGTAAAACAATGATGAAGAAAAGTATTCCAAAATAAATAGAATAAAACAATCTGTTTGCGACTAACAACCGCAGCTACATTGTGTTTCACATTTTTTTTTCTTACAGGAATTTTGCTAACAGGTTTTTTTGTTTCTGTAGAAAATGTCAATCTGTTTATTTCTTGAAGTAGAAACAGTTAATATGCATTCGTATAGACTTCAAATACTATATCTAATTGATAAATTTAATTAATTAAATGACATGAGTCAAATTGATCACGATTGAAAGTCACAAGATTAAATTTATATTTAGGATGTCCGAAAAGTAAAATCTCGATCGTCAAATATTGTTAGTGCATTAACTACCAGTCAGGTAAATATCGATGATTTAGAATTTTATATCTTTCATTGATTTGTTTACTTAGGCTATTCCTCAAACAGTCATAACTGATGATTTTGTTAAAAAAAGTGAAGTACCACCCTATGATATTCATCAACGTGAAGCTAAACGACAACGACAAGTAATTAAAATTTTACGAAACAAAAAAAAAACAATTCTTTATTACATAATTTATTTTTGCTAGATCGAACGAAGTAAAACCAAAGGTAAAAATTGGTATCATATGCCTGCACCAGAAATGACTGAAGAAAAGAAAAATGATCTAATTGCTATTCAAATGCGTGGTGGTTTATATGCTGATAAATTTTTTAAAAAAGGAAGTGATGTAAAAGGTCTTCCGAAATATTTTCAAGTAAGTTTTACAAAACAAAACACAAAAAACAAAAGAGCTCTCAATTCTTCTATTCGTTCTATTAGACTGGTACTGTTGTTGATAGTGCAGCTGATTTCTATCGACGTATTCCGAAGAAAGATCGAAAGAAAACAATTCTTGAAGAACTTTATAATGATAGTAAAGTTAAAAAGTATGGTCTTTTTTATTCAAAAGTCAACAAATCAAAATTTTCAACTTTATTGTTGGTTTTTTTTTGTTTTAGATTTAGCAAAAAACGTTACGTTGAAATTAAAGAAACGAATCGTCGACGTATTGCTGCTATGAAACATATGAAACGTTTAAAAAATAAAAAAAAATGAGCATTTGGTTTATTGAAAATAAATAAAGGAAAAAAAGACGTTGTACATTCTGCAATCATCTAAATATGAAAAAGAACACAATAGGAAGTTTAAAGTCGTTTATTCTAGTGGCGTAACAGTGTGAGGGAAGGTGAATTCATATGACCGGAGTCTATCTCATTAGAGAGTTTATGGTACGATTTACCTAATGTGGGTTCGATCGGTGAGAGAGAAGTACCCTACAATGTGCATTTTTTGCATGACAGATGGACATATCACTTCCGTTTGATCAGAAGTGATTGTATATTACTTAGAAAATTATTTTCTTAAGAATATTTTTGTGAGCTAATTCCGAATATACCATTGGTTGTCAACAGAAATGCTTGGAAGTCTGAAAAAAAAACGAAGTTTAATGAAAAAACCAAGCATTTTTGAAAAACCTGCGGATTGAAATCCGTGCCCACGCTCATTTTACTGAGTTTAGAATTCTTATTCCTCTTTGAAATGGTGACTATTGTTTAATATCCGCTGGATGTACATTGTACGTATCTCCACTTCATTACGCCACTAGTTAATTATCTTTATCACATCGACAAGATCATGATCAAGTGGTATATTAATTTGCCAAAATATATCGAAAATATTTTCTCCTGCAATATAACCATTACGAGCTTTATCATAACGTAAAAACATTTGTCAAATTTCTTCGGGATTTGTTATAAGCATATATTGTAATTTATTACGAATTTCAGCATATAAACATATAAAATCACCTGGTTTACGTGGTACATGTATATTTTTACTAAGTCGAGCATCAGGTCGATCTTCTTCATTACTTAAATATTATCGTAATGATTCAATAACAGTCGGTGAAAATTGTTCAGGATATTGTTCAGCATATTTTAATACAAATAAATCAGCTAAACGGATAATAAAACGTTGATGAAATACTTCAATAGTTGCACCGATATAAAAATCACCTGGACTATAAAATTGAGGATGTTCAAATGAAGAATCTTAGAAAATAAAACAATGATTATCAAAATTTATAATTATTATATTTACTTGATTTTGATACACATGTTTGTTAGAGAAATCGTCCACGAATAATACCTGTATGGCGTTGAGGTAGTTCATGAATACTGATTGTATCATCACTAAGACAATAACTGGTGATGAATTTACGTAATTTATCGTCTCCACGAGAGCTATCCTATAAATTAAAAATATATATATTGAATACGACGAATAGAAAATAGTAGATTTTTTCATAATAAAACAGCTTCATAACGAAGTATGCGATAATCATTTTCCATTAATTTTACATAATCCTTTTTCAGTCGTTCAGGTTGAAGACGTAAACAATTTTGTAACGCATCTTACAATGAACCAAATCTATTATATGGTGGAATTTCCTAATAAATTATAGAAGTTTTCTTTTTTATTTTAACAATTAAATATAGTTAGAACATATTTTACCATTTTCGAAAACTCGTTACGTAGCTCTTCAGTATTGATTGTTTCAAAATTACTAACATCAAAATTTGTTGTATAAAATGTTTTTGTAAACAAATCACAATCATTAATAAGAAAACTTCGACCATAAATATTAATTGTTTTTCCAATCGTTAAATCCGATGGTTTGTAACAATCATTTACTTCAGTATCAGTTAATTCAAGAAAGACATGAGGAAACGTACCTAAAAATAATCATATTTTTTTAACGAGAAAAATCAGTATTATTCAGCCAAATTTAGGGTAGGAACTCAAGTGAATGATTTTACGACCAGTTCCGAGCAGACCAGCAAGCTTCCAGATACGGCCACTGTATTCCTAATGTCAACTTTCTGTTATTTTCCAATCGGAAACGATATTTTTCCTCGTGGGTTCCAATAGGAAATCTATGAAATCGAGTGTCGGAATCACTGACCTGGGAGGAATGGATAGAAATAAAAAGTTATTTTTGATAGAATCGAAAAATGGTTAGAAGTAGAAACTGTTTAATTTAGTTCGTTAAAAATTCTCTATACTTCATTTGAAAATAGTATTATCATTAAATCTATTTGTTCCAATTATCGTATATTATTCGATCGACTCACAAACAAGTCACCCGTGATGATCAATGAAACATGATAATTAACACTCACATCCACACCCCACCCACCCACACTCACACCCACGTGTTCAATGATTCTGTCTATTTATTTATTAGTTGTGTTTTGTGATGCCATAGAATGCGAGTGATTAGTATACTGAAACTAAAATTTAAAACTAACGGGTAGCTCGTAATAAAAAAGGGTCTCAGTATTTTGTTAACATCTTAAACGCTACCTTATCGCTTACGCTTTATTTTTTTATCGAAAGATTCACCGTCTAATTCTGCAGAAATAGATATATTTTGCTGTAAAAAACACTTATCTCTCTTTCAAAATCATCACGATTTAAAACAAGAATTACACAAAACTTTCAAAGTCTTCATTTTTTTCAAGTTTTTTCCAAAATGTCTACTTTCTCAATTAGTCCTGTTACTTTGGATATAATTTGTTCACCACTCAAGAGATAAATTGGTTCATTTCAATCGACGTACCAAAGGCAATTTATTTTATTTCTGGATAAAGAATATCGTACGACCAATGATAATAAGACTAATCTAAGGACTGGATGTTTTCGAAAAAAATTGAAAAAAATAGAGATTTTGAAAGTTGTGTATAGTGCTATTTTTAAATCGTGATGATGTCGAAAGAGAAAGAAATATTTTTACAACGAAATATGCAATTTGCGCAGAAGCAGAGGGTGAATCTTTTGATTAAAAAAATAAAGCGTGAGCGATAAGATAACACTTAAGATGTTAACAAAATACTGAAACCCTCTTTTATTACGAGCTACCCGTTAGTTTCATATCATAAACATACTTTTTGCTGTCTTTTTACTTTTCGATGATAAAACTTCTGTTATTTGCTGCTTTTTGCAAAGTATTTTCTGCTTTTCGGACTTCAAAAAGTGGCAGTACTGCTGGGAAACTCAAAAAGATTTCCAATAAAAAAAACCAAGAACCGAAAGATATTTGAGGATACGCATACGATTTTCGTGACGGTTTTCAAGTGAGAAGCGGTTTCCGATGAAACTCTCCAGCTCTTGGGACTAGATCAAGAATTCGGAGCGTACGGTGGAGGATTTTTGGATTCGGTCGCCTAAAAACCCATTGGTTTACGGAGGCCCGGAAACCTAGACGATATTTTCAGAAACTTGACATGAGTCCGGAAACCTTTCCGCATACACTCACAGGTTTTCGGAACAGTTTCCAAAAGAATTCGAGTTTCCGAGAAAACGAATTTTTTTTAGAGTAGAGGCGAAAAGAAGACTCATACTCACCTACACCCACAACTAGGGGTGGCACTTTAACTTTAACTTTAAAGAAAAGTTAAAGTGTAAAGTTGTTTAAAGTGACTTTAAAGTCGCTTTATTTTTCTTGTTTCTAATATTTTATAGGCTATAGAGTATCAAAAACAGGAAAAATAAAGAAGTCTAAAGCGACTTTAAACGACTTTAAAGTCACTTTAAACAACTTTAAACTTTAACTTTTCTTTAAAGTTAAAGTTAAAGTGCCACCCCTACCCACAACTTCTATGTCGCACTTTCGTTGTAACAGTAAAGGTACATCTGTTTTCCTCACCCACATCCTTGCCCTGGAACTGCTGGTTTTATCTTTACAGAAACTAAAATCATTTTCTTTCGTCTTTTCAGTGTAAGAAACAACGAATGGGATCGAATGCAAGCGTCGAAGAGAAGAATGAGGCATCAATTCTTCGTAATCCCCAACAAGGCGAAGCCAGTGATCTTTATTGGGCTTGCCGAGCTGGTAATCTGAAGACGGTTCAACAAATTCTTGCATCAACTATCTACATCGATATCAATCGTCTCGAACCGAATGGAAGCACAGCTCTACATGCAGCTGCTTTCTTCGGCCATGCTGAGATTGTTCGACTCCTTCTTCATAAATACGGTGTTATGCGTCATCGACGAAATCGACACGGTCTCACTGCATATGAGGAGGCAGCTACCGAGGAGATTCGTCAACTATTTCACCGTTCATCTAATTCACGACGATTCTGTAGTGACACTACTGCCGATGCTGAGCATCTGTTTGCTTCCACTGTTGGTGAACAAGCAGAAGATGAAGACGACAACGATGAGGTGCCCAACGACTGGGTTATAGGAGCAAATAATGAAAAAGCCATTCGTGTTAATCAGGTGGGCATACACTTTGGAAAAGCGGTCTGTGCTTCATCGATTCTGCGACCATTCGTAAAGCGTTCGCTTCGTGACAATGATGACATCGATTGTGTATTCGACGAAAGTACAGCTGCAAAAGCTTTACAACTTCTTATTGATGAACGCGTCACTCCATCGCATTCTGAGTACCAGAAAGCTTGCGCACTTGTCTTGAAATATTCAAAAACCAAGAATGTTGAACATCTCTTACGACTCTATTCGCTTGAAACACCCTTTTACAAAAGTCTTGGTAAAGATGGAGAAAGTGGGTGTCTATTAGTTCCATTACTTTTTAAACTGGACAATTTGCGAAAGCGTGCGTATCAAGGTCGCTCATTTCGCGGTTTGACAATGGCTCGACAGGATCTACGGGCATATAAATGGGCTCTAATGCACAAAGGTAGCATCCTGAGAACAGACAGCTTCTGTTCGACATCCGTCGACAAGGATGTGGCTTGTCGCTTTATTGGGTCTTCATCTCCTAACACGATTCCTGTTTTGATGGTGTTTAAGTTCTCAGAAAAATGTGACACAGCTATTCAATTATTTCGTCTATCTGATACTTTGCCTTCCATATCCGACTTTGATGACGAACATGAGGTTCTCATTTTTCCATCCACATTATTTCATGTCACCAAAATTGAAATTGACAAACCTAGTGGTCAACACACAATCTACCTTGAAAATGTTCTAACGGAAGGAGGATTGTTCACATTATTAAAATTCGCCTGGAAATTCCGAGAAGCAGATTTTGATGATGTACTTTAACACAAGTGAATTGCGAAATAATTTAAAATTTCTATGGTTTATAAAAGAGAGTTATTGGAAGAATAAATGAGTTTAAGTAATAAAATTTTTTATTGTATTTATCTTTATTGCATAAATATAAAAGTTTTATTTTCATTCATTCTTTGTTATAAATAACAATAAAGATGAACCAACAAATCTATTTGAAAAAGTGCTTGTGAAATTGAGATAAACTGAAATTGTTGAAAATAAAACTAACATATTCATAAAATTTATTTGTTTGTCTAGATAAGAGGCGATAATATTTATAACAAAGATTTAAGATCGTAATCTACCGCGTGTGCATGCCGAAGCGTTTTAGAAGTAATGTAAAACGAGACATACGGTTTTATCAACAGTTGAATATTTCCAATAAGAGATATGCAAATAACAGTGAATTATGATAGGATCACTCATTTAATATAATGAATCTATTAAATCAAACTCAACTTGGTTAAATTTTAATGCAAGAGATACAGTTTGAATGTTAGAATTCGGTTCGATTCTGACACATACTGATGGTATTTTTTGACTTTTTTGAAAATAAAGTAAACGCTTTTTCTCATAACAGTACCGTAACGTAGAAAAGCCATAAAGCGTATATTAATTTGTTTTGAGCATGGATGCGTATTGACATGTTTGGTTCTTTTGGACATGTTCAAACGCATCAAGTTATAATGTTTATAGACGCTCAGGGACGCATTAAGAGCTTAAGTATAAATACATGTGCAGTAAAAGAATATCATTGAGTTATTCTAATCTCAATAAAAACAGATAGCTTTTCGTGTAGAATCTACTACTCAGGTTCGTATTATAAACTTAAATCAGTTTGTGTGATTCTGAATCATTACACGCAATAGTAACGAAAGCAAGATAATCATCATCGATTGAAAGCGTAAATAGATATATTTCAAAATTATTCTTCTTGACATATGCATCATAAAGAGCCATTCATAGACTTATGTTTTGGCTTCTTATTCTTATTAGACTGAGTTAATAGAAAGATCATATGTTTATCCAAATGAATTAGGAAAGTAATCTTTTGCTTTCAGCTACTAACTTCTAAATTTAATATCACTACACACAGTATTTTCTCCAATCACAATAACATTCAAACCAAGATACAGCACGCTAGACTTATAGACACATTTTCGTACAGATGTAGCTTCCTTTTTTAAAATATATATCTGAACTAATTAAACTAGCTATATAACTATATATTCAATTGCGTTCCAAAAAGTAATGCATCCGAACGCATTTCAACAAATTTCATATATTGACATGAGCATCCTATGAAACGTATCTGTTCGACCCTGTCAATTAGACAGCGTTCACTGTAAGAGAGATAGGTTCTTTTAATCATTAAACATAATCAGAGGCATAAAATGATATAAATGCGTTTGTATGTGAAACGCATCAGAACGTCGAGATTTGCAATAAAAACGCATCTAGCTGCGTCTAAAATGCGTTTGGTGGTTGCATGAGTTACTTCTCTTGATATAATTACTTACTAATAGTTCAAAAATTCAAATCTAAAATCCAATAGTGATATAATATTCTGGTGAAACAATAGTCTGCTAAAATTTTTAACGGTTGATATTTATTGTATTCAACGACAATCAATTTTTGAAACTGTTTGATTATAAAATTAGACAATTCACTATCTTTTATCTTTCTTATCAGTTGATAAAATTGAGTCGAGGCAGACCATATATAAAAGGATGCTACGATATATTTCGTTTGTTGGTTTGTAAATCATGTTACTTAGACAATGTTTTGGTATAAACGATTCTAATAATGATCACGAAGATGGGAATACATTGAATTGCAATATTTATCATCTTGCTCGACGACTCAAAACATTGAAACCGATTATATCAAAATTTGAGTTTTTACCAAATGAATTAATATTAAACTTATTTGAATATTTATATTGTGATGATATCATCTATGCATTTAATAATCTTAATTATCGTTTTCAATTATTATTATATACATATGAATATTATCATTTAAATTTTGATCAAATAATAATGAAATCAAAATTTAATCTTATTGAGAATTTACCACTTAACATTCAACATGTTAAATCATTAACATTATCGAATAATAATTACTCATGTACAAATATTGAACAATGTTTATTAAAATATCCTATTGAATTATTTTATATTAGACTTCAATCATTGTCATTTTTTCCGAAGGATGATGATCAATTACTATATCTTATTTTATTATTACCAAATTTTCAACAATTAAAATATTTATTAATATCTCAAAAATTGTGTACAAATCCTGGTGATAATATAATAAAACAAATTCGTGATATAATATTATTTGAAATAAAAACATTAAAATATTTTACATGGGATAATGAAAGTTCATTTTTTACAAGAATGAATGAAGCAATGTCAATAGAAAAATCAACGATCGAATATTATGAATTTCGTCGGATGAATATTGATGAGTTTGAATGGCTAAATTTTCACACTATAAATATGAAATCAATTCATATTTATGCCGCTTTCTTTTATAGTTATTCATATCAACAACAACAAGCATTTGAAACATTGACCTGTATGAAAATTGACGAGTTTCGTGAACCAATGAACTTTCAAAATTTGTTTAAATTTTTGTCATTCTTAATACGATTGAAACAATTAGAAATTAAAGGTCTTTATTGTGAGGAAAATATGTATACTGATGGTAATAGATGGGAAAATTTTATTCAAGAATATATGCCGCAGTTAAAAATTTTTAAATTTTTCTTCACTCGATGGGATCGACACATAAATATTGAGGTAGTAATCGCATCATTTATGACAAACTTTTGGTTAATAGAAAAAAAATGGTTTGTTACATGTGATCATAAGGTGAACGAAGGTATCTTATATATCTATACAGTACCATATATGAAAAATAAATTCAAATATTTGACATCATGTCAACGAATATCAACAGCAAAAATAAATGATACTTCAAATATTCGTCAATTAATTTTACATGAAATTAAAACAAAGGATATAATATTAAAAGATCATTTTACCAATCTACAATCATTAGAAATATGGAAAATATCGGATGATATAACCTATGATCAATTGAATCGATATGTAAATATATCATCAATTAAAAATATAGTATTTAGATCTCGAATTAATTCAAATTTATTCTATGATATTTTAAAATATAATACAACACAAATATCAATTGAAATAGATTATAATTATCTAATAAAAATTTTAAGAAGTACAACATATTATAATCGTCGTCAAATCATAATTGAATTAAAGAAAATTAAACAATTAGAAATTGATTCTTGGAGGGTGGAGGGATTAACAAAAAAACAAATTAGAAAAATTTGTTATTTATTTTCAAATATCGAACAATTAATTATTAAAAGAGCATTTAGATCAAAACAATTGATACCATTATTAATATGTAAATTAAAATATTTATCTTTTTTGAGTATACATTATTTGGAATCTGCACCAATAACAGAAATAAGCAATTCAAATTTTCGACAATGGTTAATAGATCAATCAAGAACAAAATTAAATGAAAATAATTTTATTTGTAAATGGTCTGAAAGACAATTTTATATATGGATTGATTAATTTAGAAATTCATTTTTGTTGATTCATATATTAATCAATTTTATTTGAATTTTTTCACGTCTTGTATCTTCAATTATGATGACTGCTATTGCATCAATCGATTTTTTTTGTGTATTCGATTATTATTGTTTTCTGTATTCATTGTCATGAGTGAAAAATGATTAAGGTTGAATAGGTCACATAGGTTTTTACATCTATAACGAAACAATTGATTCATCCATACTTCCACCAGAAGAAATAAATAATCATTTGATTTTGTCCAAGAGATGCAGATTAGTGGGCTAAAAGAAAAGACAATATTTGTTTTTGAAGATCAAAATAGATATGTCGAAGTTTTTAATCTTATGTTCCGAGTGATTCAATTATTTCAAGATACATCATATCTTGAAAGATGAAAGTGTAGGTGTGAGTTATTGATATGTGAAGACGAAAGCCACACGTACGTACATCACACATTTACAATACGATTTCATTAAGTAAAACACCCGATCCTCTTGATATATTTATATAGTTATATAGTAGTATACGAGAGATTTTTCACTTTACATATTTTGTATTAGTTTAATTAGGCTAAAGAATTTATGTGAGTTCCACATTTCAACTCTAAATAGGCTTCGCTAACAAGTTTATGTTCGTTTTCTCATCAGAAATTCTTTGCATAATGGTTTATCAACTTCAGATTGTTGCTTGTGATCAAAGTTTACTAACATCTATTTGTAGTCAAAATATCAGACATTTAATAGAAAATTTCTTTGAACTGGCATGTATTTTCAAAGTATTTATCTTTTATTTGTTGTCATTTAATTAATTTTTGTCGATCGATATACATACACAAACGTATATTGAAAAAAAAAATTAATTAAAGAAATTTAGTTATTATTTATACATTGAATTTATTGTTTGAAATTCTTGTGAATCACATCATGTCATATCATCACTGAGACCATTTTTATACATTTGTCTTAAATGTGATGTTGTTGTTAATACACTTAATATCAATGAAAAAAACATCATTAATATAATAGTAAAAATAGCTATTGTCATAATTAATGAAACTTTTCGAAAGACAACAACTCGCTGTATACGTTTTCGATTTGTATCTAATACTGAATTAACATCACATAAAAATGGATAAAACAAACTATTATATGGAACAATACATTCTTTACTAAAATAATAAAGTAAACATTGTAAATTAATTGGCTCAGAACCAAGACCAGCATAGTAAATACCATCCGTTGGTTGAACATGTGAAACATTATAACGTCGTACACCTATTTCATCAGTAGGTAAATAAAAATAATGAACAGATTTAAAATTTAGACGATATTGAATAGCACAAATTTTTTCTTGAACACGCTTTAATTCATGTCTCACTTTAAAAGCAACATACCAATTTTGAAATGGTCTATCAACAACTGAAATACGTTCAACAGCGTTCCAATTTGGAATTTGATGCAGATTATTACGAACTATAATCCATTTGGATTGTGGAGCTAGTGAATGAGCTGTACGTGGTACTTGATAATCATAACCTGTAAGTAATGGCGCTCGAGATGATATATTTGTTGATACTGTAGGTGAACCAATAATCACATGTGATTCTTTTTTTCCTTTGAGATTTTTACGTACGAGTAGTCTTGGGCTAGTTGACATTTTAACCTTAATGAAAAATAATATAAAATATCTTCTAGAAGATTTCGCGGAACTCATATATTTTCGAAGAAAATATTGAGTGTAAGTTTTAAGTCGAAGTTTTTCGGCTTCCTACGCCGTTACAAACCATAGCAACTCTCCAAAAAAAAAAGAGAAAATTTCTACTCGAAATTCAGAAATAAGTAAGATAGGTTCTTGCTGTGGCGATCGATTATTTTGTATTAGTTTAATTGGGCTAAAGAATTTATGGGTTTCACATTTCAACCCTACATGGGCTGCACTAATAAGTTTCCCTATAGCCAGAATCAAAAAGGAAGTGCATCGTATCGAAACGAAAAAGCATAGGTGTACAACCGTTTTCACCCGGAACCACACCAGAATAACACCGTACTCTGCTAACGACACCCCAAACGATTCATTCTACTATTGTTGAAAATAAAAAAAAAACGAAAACGAAAATTATACAGATGTCAAAAGATACAATTATTCACAATGATAGTGTTTGAGAGGGGAAATTCTCTCGTTCTCACTCTCACTCTCCCATTCACATTTTTATCTGTCATATTTGTTTTCGATATTTTTATTTTCGACATCTTTACCTTTCGACTAAGGTAGGGTTAACCACAACAAACATTACTCAGTTTTCGTCGAAAACTTTAAATATATTCTTTCCACTAGAGAACCTCTCGTGTTCTTCGAAATACTTTCTAGATTGAGTATAGGTCAAAAAAAAAAACCTTTAATTAAGAATCTATCTCATATGAAACATCAGTTTGAGTATTGGAGATACCTTGTAAATAAGATATCAGTCTTGACTACATATTTAAAGACTACGCCACTTCAAAATAACAATTTCAGTTTTTAAAATACCTTGAAAACTAGGTATCAGTTCTGGAAATGTCTCTAGGTATGTTTCCATATTAACGCAGGTATTACAGTGTTCAAAAGTATCTTGTAAATAAGGTACCTGTCAAAAAAGATCCATCAATATCTATTTCAATTCAACTTATGATTTCAATCATAAAACAAACACATGGCTCACCTGGTACTCTGCTACTACTTCAAGAGAGGGGGAAGGGGTGAGCAATCGATATTTCCTCTGTCCTTACACATTACATGTTAAGCGAACACAAAATTCTAGAAATCGATTTATCATTCTATTGTGGAACTCAGGTATGTTGTCCAAGAAAATAGTGAGTGTAAGTTTAAATCGAAGTTTTTGTGACTTCTCATAGACCTTACCTCAATTACAAATCATAGCAACTCTCTCTCCGCCGACCCCTCCCCCTCTACTGGACGTTCCCATATATAAGGGGGTGGGTATGAGTGTTTGTAGAGGTGTCCAAAACAAAAGACACTCATTAGAACACCCGCACGTACATATATATGTTTCTGTTTCGTGAAGACAGACGTCTATGGGAACAATTATGATATCCTGCTACAAAGACTTCGAAATAGCACCTGATTGAAAGTACTTTCATTGATAAATATAAAAATTGGAAAAAATCAGGACGCTCTACATTTTCGCAGCATCGAACATACTAAACGAAAAATATATTCGCAAGAGAACGCAAGCTACATGATATTTGCAATAAGAAAATAGCAAACACCTACCTTCAAGAGCACTAATGGATTGAAAAACAGTGTTTCCTATGTATTTGTATTTTAAAAATGAACTTCACCGATTAGTAATATATGAATAATGAGAATTACAAAATGAAGTCAAACTGTATCGACCAGAAAAGATATCGATATATAGGCAAGAATATTCGTTTTATTATCTTGCAATATATCGTTTCAAGATGTAGTTGAAACAATTCTAATATTGAATAGTGGAAGAAATTTTGAGACAGAGATGTACATTTTTATAGTTCCTTTATAAGTGATCAATCAACCGGAGAGAACAAATAATTAAAAAAAATTGCTTATTTGAGTATCATTTATTGTAGAATATATATGAAGACACACCGAAATTACCCATGCTCATCATAAAAATCAACATTGTTATCTATGATAGTGTCGATTTACAAGCCTATCCGATACTTTAGACGAAAGAAAATTCAATATTTGGAATACTTGTGAACGTATTTATGAATAGTGAAAACCTATGTTAAAATGATCTGAGCAAAAAATATCAAGACATCTAATGTATTATCTTGTGCTTCAAAATATATTTTTTTAACAAACCTATTAAGAACTAAACATAATATTCCATTTTAATACCAGCATGAATTGATATCTACAAACTCTAGCTTTTTTTCTGCTAGATCAAATTAATTTCACGTTCTGAAAAGTAGCAAGATCAACCAGACACAAAAAAAGAAACATGCTTTGATATTTTTATAGATATTCTTGAATGGGATGTTGACAATTGACTAGCTCTATGAATATTTCTATTATAGAACTACAATTTAAAATAATTCTTCAATGAAAAACGATTTCCAAATATTCTAAGGCATAGCACATAACAACAATGATTATTTTCGAAATAAATCATTTTTTGAAATCATTCTACTTCGAAAATTCAACCCAAAGCTTGAGAATTCTTGAATGAATAATTTGAAAGAGCTTTTATGGCAAAGTAAGCATTATTTTCTTCTTGCATTTCTTCTTATAACACGTAATAAATATTGATTAAAGGTAAAAAAATTAATGATGCATTCACTGAGTGGAAAGAAAATTTCCAATTTTCAAAACATAATGATGTATGTCAATCGAACCAGAATACAGTAAAATAAAAGTGTGACAATAATGATAGACTCAGTTTTTACTTATAATTAAAGATTGCGATCAATCGATAGAGACGACGTTATAGAGCCAGGAAAAAAATGTCTGCTCTCATTTATTGTCTCATTTATAAAGTTAAACATGACCCAATGGCAATTGTAACCATTTTACATTTTATTGTATTTCATAAAACAATACTGACTTTTAGAGATCCGAAAAGAAAAGGCAATTATATTATCTCTAACACTCTTATTGATGCAACCGTTCTCATCAACAAAAATTTTACAATTCTCAGAATTGTTTCTTGACAGTATGTTATTGGAACATATTTACAACTATTAGAAAGAAATATTCTATACCTTCTCAAATTTGCTGTTCGATTTCACTTTCAATACACATCACAAATAGAAGTAAATAAGTTGCGTGAGATTTTGTTTCGAGTGTGGATGCCGGTGCCGATGTGAGATTTGAATTTTAACGTGCAGGTCCAGTCCCACGTCCATACCCTTTCTTTAGATTGCAGTCAAACAGATAATAGCACATGTGATCAGTGAACAAGAAAAACCTGTTTTGTATGATTTCTTCTTCCAGAATGGTACTATTTTGATATTCATTAAGACCTTGTTTTCGATGTCGTTAATTATCTCGAAAGAATCGGTTTTGTACATCGATCAAAATGTCTTTTAACAGTAATACTCACCGTTCAGTTGTACGCCCACAATTATCAACATCATCGTGTACAAGTTTAGATCAAAATATATCGATAAATGATGATAATAATGAAATATTGATGCAAGAATAATTCTCTCATCTAGAATTCCGACGACTTCAGCAAGAATCAAAGAAGATGATAGGTGTATCTAGTCTGTTTATCGATAAAGATAATTTAAATCAGGAAAAATTTGAAAATGAAAATGATGAACAAAAATTATCAAGACCATTCATCGATCCAAGTATAACGAGTATTATTCTTTTTTCTGGTCAAGGTACACCATTTGTTAGTATAGTGAAAACTTAATATCATCTATTATTTGTATCAAAATAATAAAAACAAACATTTAGACAACAAGTTGTTAATTATTTAACTGTCAAAGAAATATTTAATATTGTTTATCGAATATTTGGTTATAATCTTCATTCTCAATGTATCAAAGAATCGATTACAGAACTCAGTACCACTTCTTGTACTCAATCTATTATTTATGTGGCATCATCAGCTGGTGTGCAAAAACTAAAAAGTGAAAATCAAATAGTAAAAAATCATACCATCACTATATATGTTTGAGAAAATACTAAACACTCAACATTCTATACTGAGTATCAGTATACAATTTAGTGTTCAGTAACTATTATGTTTGCTCGGTAAATCAATCATTTTTTCAATGTTAAAATTAACCATTTATCTTCCATAGAGGTTCTAGAAGAACTACTAATGAAATAACTTTATAAATAGAATATTAGCCTTCCTGATATACCAATGATACGGACTGATCCATCGAGTGTGCTGCTCTTAGTGTAAGGTGATATGGTTGATTCAGCGATCATGTGTTGGAGAAAGAGAATTGAACGGCATCGTGAGATTTGATTTCTTTTTCTTTCATCACTTTACTGAGTGCGAATAGAAGCAATATCTATGTCGTGTTGTTTCAATAATGGAGAAAAGGAAAGAGCGAACCAATAAAATTTAATACCAAAGAATACATGCGTTTTTTAAACATGAAGTCAAATTAATATCTATGTTTCTCTGAACCATTTTATAGCCTCTGAAGAAATTTAATTCATAATAAATTCGATTTCAATTTCTCAGTAAAAAATTGTGTCGTAACAGTTGATTTTAGTATCGGTGAAATAACAGCACTTCTCTATGCTAGTTGTATGACGTATAAAGATGGTCTTCGTTTAATTAAGACTCATGCTAAATCAATGCAACCATCATCAAATGAAGTAAATAGTGGAATGATATCAGTATTTGTTGATCATAAAATAAAACTGAGCTTACAAAGGCACATTCCCAGATGCCAGAGCGCTTTTCAGCCGAAGTTTCATGTATCTTGTAGCCTATAGTGAGCTGTGTCTATGATAAAAAAAAGTTTGGGTTTCTGACTTGTTTCTGAGGAGACATCGAGCTCCTAGTGAATTTTCTCTATCGTATGCCTACATTGGCGGCACCAAAGCTATACTTTTGAATTTTGATCTGAAACTTGCGTGTATAAAGGCCTCAGCTAGACTAGTTTGCATAGAAAATTTCAGAAGTTGTGAATAAAGTTTCTCTAAGATATGAAACTATCAAGGCATGGTCTCTTTTTCATAAACAATATATATAGTATGCATTTTTTTTTCAAAGCTTCGTATCTTAGAGATATTTTATTCAAAACTTCTGAATTTTCTATGCAAACTAGTCTAGCTGAGGCCTGTATGCAGGCAAAATTTCAGGTCAAAATTCGAAAATGCTGCCAAAGTAGGCTTAATACAGAGAAACTTCACTAGAAGCTCGATATCTCATCAGGAACAAGCCAGAAACACAAACTTTTTTTTTTACCATAGACTCAGCTCACTATGGACTACAAGATGCGCGAAACTCGGGCTGAAAAGCGCTGTGGCACCTGAGCATGTTTCCTTGATAGTCAGCAGTTGGCAAAAAAGTGTAGTATGAAAACAATCTATTCATAAAAAGTATCAAAGATCAAAACAGGAATCTTATTCAAATACGCTTGAATGTCGTTTAGAACAACAACTGGATTATCTTCTTCAACTGAATAACAAAACAGCTTCTCAACATGGCATGTTTCACTATCTTATCTTTCTTATTAGTTGATAAAATTGAGTCGAGGCAAATCATATATAAAAGCATCCTACGATATATTTCGTTTGTTTGTTTGTTTGTAAATCATGTTATTTTGACAGTATTTTGATATAAACGATTCTACTAATGATCACGAAGATGGGAATACATTGAATTGCAATGTTTATCAACTTGCTCGACGATTGAGAAGAACGAAACCAATTATATCAAAATTTGAATTTTTACCAAATGAATTAATATTAAACTTATTTGAATATTTATATTGTGATGATATCATCTATGCATTTAATAATCTTAATTATTGTTTTCAATTATTATTACATTCATATGAATATTATCATTTAAATTTTGATCATATAATAATGAAATCAAAATTTAATCTTATTGAAAATTTACCACTTAACATTCAACATGTTAAATCATTAACATTATCGAATAATGTTTATTCATGTACAAATATTGAACAATGTTTATTAAAATATCCCATAGAATTATTTTATATTAGACTTCAATCATTGTCATTTATTCCGAGGGATACTGATCAATTACTATACCTTATTTTATTATTACCAAATTTTCAACAATTAAAATATTTATTAGTATCTGAAAATAAATTTTATTATAAGTCTGACTATGATACAAAAAACAAAATTCGTGATATAATATTATTTGAAATAAAAACATTAAAATACTTTACATGGGATGGTTCTGGTTATGAGTTTATAGGAGTGAATGAAACATTGTTAATACAAAAATCAACTATCGAATATTATGAATTTGGTAAGATGTTTATTCATAATTTAGGATGGCTCAATTTACACACAGCAAATATGAAATCAATTCATATTCATGAAATTTTTTTTTTGATTCTATATATTATCCACACCAGCATACATTTGAAACATTAACTTCTCTAAAAATGCACGGGTTCCATAGAGAGAGGAGTCTAGATTTACTTCTATATTTGTCATGCTTAACTCAATTGAAGCAGTTAGAATTAGAAGGTAACTCTCCTTTTTCTCTTAATGAAAAGAACGTTAACCATGGTTATGAATGGAAAAATTTTATTCAAAAATATATACCTCAATTAGAAATCTTTAAATTTTTCTTCAATTCTTACTTAGACAGAAATACTATAAATATTAATGAATTAATCGAATCATTTATGACAGATTTTTGGTTAATAGAAAAAAAATGGTTTGTTACATGTGATTATTACATGAACGAAAGTAGCTTATATATCTATACAGTACCATATATGAAAAATAAATTAAGATATTCAACATCATGTCAACGAATATTAACAGCAAAAATAAATGATATGTCAAATATTCGTCAATTAATTTTACATGAAATTAAAACAAAAGATATAATATCAAACGATCATTTTACCAATCTACAATCATTAGAAATATGGAAAATATCGGGTGATATAAGCTATGATCAATTGAATCGATATTTAAATATATCATCAATTAAAAATATAGTATTTAAAACTCGAATTAATTCAAATTTATTCTATGATATTTTAAAATATAATACAACACAAATATCAATTGAAATAGGTTATAATAATCTAATAGAAATGTTAAGAAGAGCAACATCCCATAATCGTCGTCAAATCATAGTTGAACTAAAAAAATTAAACAATTAGGAATTGATTTTTGGTGCGTAATGGAATTAACAGAAAAACAAATGAGAAAAATATGTTATTTATTTTCAAATATCGAACAATTAATTATTAAAAGAGCATTTAAATCAAATGAATTGATATCATTATTAATACGCAAATTGAAACATTTATCTTTTTTGAGTATAAATTATTCGAAATTTGCAGCATCAACAGAAACAAACAATTCAGATATTCGACAATGGTTAATAGATCAATCAAGAACAAAATTAAATGAAAATAATTTTATTTGTAAATGGTCTGAAGAACAATTTGATTTATGGATCGATTAATTTAGAAATTCATTTTTGTTGATTCATATATTAATTAATTCTCTTTTGAATTTTTTCGCTTATCGTGTTAGTTATTGTTTTTTGTATTCATTGTCATGAGTAAAAAATGATTAAAGTTGAATAGATCATATAGTTTATTTTTTACATTTATAACGAAACAACTGATTCACTCATATTCTCACCAGAAGAAATATATAATCATTTCATTTTTGTCTATGCGGCATACAGGAGATAGTGTGATACAAAAGAAGGTCCTTCTCGAAATATCGGCACAAGAGTTACAAAACAATGTTGAACGAGTAGTCTGATCGATTATTCTGTTATTTATAGGATTAGTTTGTTTTCATTTCTAACTTTCTACGATAGAAAGATTGTGAGTGGGAGCAATGCCCATCCTCACACTAGGATACACACTCACACGCTCTATTCAAAAAATGCATGAATAGTATGTCTCTATATCAGATAAGCGCACGTATTGCATCGGAAAAAGTATTTATTCACCTATCAGTTGTTGGAATTTTAGTTGATTTTAGAAAGTTCCCAAAAATAAAATCATCAAAAGCAAAAAAAATCGGTGACAAATAAACTATTATCAATTACAAATGATAATATGACGATGACGCATTATAATAAACAGTGTGCATTTTTAATGTTAAAAATGTTATTTTTATTATTTGTTTCTTTTTGATGAACATGTCAGATTTATAGCAAGAGTAGAATATGTTTTTTTTCTTTCTCATAGTGAATGTTTAGCGTTTCTTCTTTTTTTATTTCATCGGGCATTATGTCAAAATAGGATGTGCTTTTATTTCAACGATTGTTTTTTGCTTTTTTTTGTTGTAGTTATTTAAGAGCTTGGGATGAAAAACGAAAATACAACAGTAATCAAAGAAGAATTGTGTTCTTCTATAGCAGAAACTACATCAAAATTGCAAAAATCAGAGATGAGTATTCGGTTCAATATCGCTTCATATGACTGTAGATGAGTGACATCTATCATTAAGAACATATGTTATAAAAATGAAGATCATTTGATTTTTGATATTGTTTTATTAAAGAAATATAGTTTTAATAAAAATTTTAAAAATTTCTAAAATCATTTAGTTTTTTTCTTGTATATAAATATTCGCCTGTTCCAATAATTACCCAATAGAAATGACAAGTGAAAATACTATGAATAATTATTAATTTCGAAATTTCTCTTTTTACGACTCATAATATAATCTTAATTTTTCTTAAATTGTTCATTTATTGTTTTAGTTACGAGATAGATTAAAAACAAAAATCATGCAAGTATTTGTTCGTGGTGACACTGAGCTCATTCCGCTCGAACTTGAAAACGATCATACTGTACAAGACATTCGTGTAAGTTATTTTATATATTCTAGACTCATAATTAAATCCATATTTTTTTTTTCTTCAGGAATATATTGCTGACGAATATGATGTTGATATGAATGAACTTGTATTAAGTTATCATGGTACACTATTGAACGATGAACAAACAATTGAACAATGTGGACTTATATCTGGTTCAACACTTGATGCTACTATGAAATTATTTGGTGGTAAAGTCCATGGTTCATTGGCTCGTGCCGGTAAAGTCAAAGGTCAAACACCAAAGGTAATATAAAATAAAATTTTTATTGAAGAAAATGGAAAAATTTTATTCTATTTAGGTTGCTAAACAAGAAAAACGTAAGAAGAAAACTGGACGTGCTAAACGTCGTCTTCAATACAAACAACGATTTGTTAACAAGGTTACCGGAGTGGGTCGTCGTCGTGGACCAAATTCAAATCAACAAGCTGCATCATAAACATCTAAAAATGAAAACAACTTCTTATTTATTTGTCTATTGTATTCCACCATAAGAAGATTGGCAATATCAGTTTTTTTTTTCGTTTTTGTTTTTAAATAAAATATTATCATTAAAATCAAAATTTCCAATTAATTATTTTGTTCATCTTATTTAATACTTTCTGTAGACTATAATAGAAAAGTGAAATAAATATGAATCAAAAGAAAACAATTTCAACATTAATTGTACTTGGTTCTGGTAAGTGAATATATATTGAAATATTCATTAACGTATATAATTATGATCATTAGGTGGTCATACAACGGAAATGTTTCGTCTATTATCAGGTACTGATTTGAACGTATATAAACCAAGATATTATACTATTGCATCTACGGACACAATGAGTGCCAAGAAAATGAAAGAATTTGAACAGAATGTGAGCATTAATTTACAATGAATATTTTATTTTATGCAGCGTTCAGATGCAGCATATCTGTAGATAGAGGCTTTAGAGACATTTATTATGTGAATAGACTTTGTTGTGTTGTCTATTTCTTTGTGCAAAGTGAAGATATATGAACTATGCCTTTAGATGACGGAGAAATGGCAGATTTTGGAATTTTTGTAATCTGAAATCTACTCCAGGATATTCATGGGCTTTGAACTATTTTGTTATACCTCCACACAACCCTTAGAATTTTTGCAACTTTCTCTCAATTGATTGATCATTCGAGAATTTTTCTCCACTTATTTGATTTGCTTTATATATTTGGATTTCTACCATTTCTTCTAGTATCTTCGAAACTTTTCCATAATTTCTACTTTTCTCAGAAAAGAAGTAGATACAACGTATATAGTAAATGTCTCTAATGCTTTTGTATATTGATATACTGCATTCGAACTTTATATGCCAAAATAAAATAAAATATTAATTTCAATAGAGGCGAAACTTTTAATAAAAGATAATAGCTATGTTTTTTTTTAGACTTTGGATGATATGAATGTTTCATTTATTAATCGAAGTCGTCATGTTGGTCAAAGTTATTTTAGTTCTATTTTTACTACTCTTTGGGCATTTTTTACTGTTATTCCATTAGTTTATCGTATTAGACCTAAACTTGTAAGTTTATTATAAGATTCATCATATATCATTACTTTGATTTCAATTAGATTCTTATCAATGGTCCAGGTACATGTATTCCAATTGTTATTGCTAGTCTATTATTATCAGTAAATATTTTTTGTTTTCATTTGCTTTCAAATTAATGATCAAAATATTTATTCTTATTTATTTTCTTAGCTTTTCTTTCTTATTGATCGACCAAAAATTGTTTTTGTTGAAAGTATATGTCGTGTGCAATCTTTATCATTAAGTGGAAAAATTCTTCAATATTTACCTGTACATATTCTTGTTCAATGGCCACAATTAACTGAAATTTATCCAAAAACTCAATATATTGGAAGACTTGTTTAATAATTCATATATTTGAATGATTTTTTTTTAGTTATTTCTGTTTTTTTTTCGTTCAATAAAACTTATTAATGCTTATTCATATTTAAGATAATATTGTTATTTTCAATGCAAAGAGGATATGTATGAAACGTCGACATACTAGTTGTTGGTTTTTTTGTTCTTTGAGTAATCTGAATTGCATGACAATTGTTATGGAAAATGATAATCATGATTTAGAATATTCGTTGATCAAGACAATATTTCTATAGGATAAACGATCTGTATGAATGTAACTTTAAAATAAAGACAGTGTTCATAGAAAAAATACACATGATTGAATAATTCTTTTGCTATAATGATAAGGAGTTACAGAATTTTTGTATAAGAAACATTCGTATAACTTCATAATTCTCAAATATTTGGTAGAACTGTCAATTGATTTTTATTATCTTATTATGGAAAAATTGAATTGATAAACCATTCGAAATATCAAATTAAAGTAGAACATCTTTTTGATAATTAAAGCTAAAACATAAACAATTTATTGAGAGAAGTTTTTACACATAGATAATGATTTAATCAGACTATTTATAATGTTTCCGTGATCATTCAACATCAATGTCAATTGTCTATCCAAAATTATTATTGTATGTTACAATATACTTTCATTTAGATTGACGTTGATGATTATGTATGTTTTCATTTACTTGTTGTTATAGTTTGTTGTTGCACCCTGTAGATCATCATTGCTCACCACTCATTCGTTGATAGTATGGATGGTGTATTTTGACAATCATGATGATTATATTAATATATAAATAAGAATTTTTTGATCTCAATTGGTATGGTTTAGGAAAATGATGTCAACATGATTATTTTCCAAACTTACTCATTTACTTTTTTATTGTTCAGAATTTTTTAGACATCGAAGATAAATATTTCACAAACAAAAACAAGACAACAAAAAAAACTGTTCGATAAACAGATGTTTAGAAAGTCATGGATATTTAAGAAATTCAATTAGTTTTAAAATTTAATGATTGTTCTAGGCGAAATATTTTTTTTTATATTGAATAAATAAATATATAAAAATGACTTTTTTTTTTTGTTCAAAATCTATTTGATTTGGTTGATCAATTTGAAATGTTTCAACATATATTGATAAAACTAATATTGAATAAAAAGAAAAATAAATTGAATGACTTGTCAAAGAATAAGGCAGATAGATCTGTTACACTTGTGAGTTTTATCACATGCCAAAGAACATTATAATCTATTTTTAGAATTCTCATTTTGACATAATGGTGAATCTTGTTTTCTATTATTGTTTCTCCAAGAACGTACCGTATTGAGAAAAAAATCAGACATGTTTTATACACTCTCTATAAATAACAACAATCTAGATCTAGTTTATTCAAACCTCTGGCAGATTTAGTGCCATTGTTTGTAGTGACGTAGCTGATTCCCATTAATACTCAGAACTTATCTCAAATCTTGAAATATGTTTGGTGCCTAAAGAGATTAATGCTTGGTTTTTATTTAAACTTATAGTAATCATTTCTCGATCTTTCAACAAATATCATTCAACATCATCCAATGGAGAGGGGAAGAGGGAAGAACAACAAAAGCAAAAATTACATGACAACAGATCTGATTTAAAAATTTTTGTATTCGTACATGTAACTTTTCACTTGTGTTAGCCGTTCTTTTGATAGTATTCAGTAGATAGCCTTAGAAAATTGGAGACAGAATTACTATCATTTGTAATAAAATCTAAATATGTGTATCATGTAACTGTCTGATTCTGTTCATTTTGTTTCGTTATCTCAGTGATATCAAATAAGGGTGTGGGTATGTTCGTCTCTTCAATAACACCCACACACCAACTGGGAAATTGAAGAATCAGAAAAGAGAAAATTGTACATGTTGAGTATATGCACTCGAGTGCTTCATGAAAGATTAACAACGAGAAGAACAAAGAAAAAAAATGTCAGTGATTTTCTCAAGCTAAATAGCTTTCAAAAGAAGTGTAGGATGAAGAATGAATATTCTCTTCTGGTACTTCATCCATGCAAGTCAGATGTCATACATGTGCTGATGCAAATTCAACGAGATATATGATCCCTTCATATATTCTACAAAACAGAGGAATTCGTTAGAAAAATGCTCATTTTCTATTCAGTTTTCGGATTATTGTGATTATAAGTTTCTCGTTCTCAAACTTCGATCTTTACCCTTCTTTGTTAATTTTGTACGTAGGTTCTATAGTTTTTCGTAAACGTTTTTTAATCATCAAGTACAACTGTTATATTCATTTCTCAATGATCGTAATTGGCTGTGTAGGTGTTTGGGAGATCGAGTAAAATAACAGGGTATCTATAGACATTGGCAAAAACAGTTCTGTTGAACTAACAAATAGAAAATTTCGGCATTGTATAAGGTTTGTTTTACGACTTTTTCTTGGACAGCATGGCGATCATAGTGATGAATGTGCAAATCAAATACATTAGTTCTCATAACTCTTTATTCTTTAGTTTTCTTTTTGTTCTGTTTAACAGGTTTTTGAGTGTTACGAATAAACGAAATTACCATCCATAGCGAAAATTTTTTGTTTCGATCAAGCATTTTTCTTTGATTCATTTCCTTTTTTTTTCAGTTGTTGCTCTCCACTCACCATGCAAGCATATCAAATTTCGATTTAGTATCACCATTTGACGAAATCTTTATTACATTTTCAAACGAAATCAACGATAGATGCCTTTGAAGACAACAAAAAATTGAAACGATGCTTGGGGAGTGTCATTGACATTGTTTAAACAATAATCCAAGGATTGAAACAACAACAAGCATCGAATTTAAATACTTTACGTAAAAATTCAATATCAAATACTGATATCAATGGATTTTCATGTAATCCTGCTGATGACCAAACAATGGAAACATTGATTATGCATAATGAAAGTATATTCAATAATTTTTTGCCGATGTTATCTGACAACTATCGAGGATACATGTTCAATTTGCTATGTAAGTATCATTATGATCGTGAGGATGTGGGTATGGATGTTGGCGTAGGTGTGAGAATAGAGAATACCAACACACTCACACTCAACAAAGGACATGATTTAGAATACCATTAATCAGCAGCAAACTTTATGACAATAAGTATAAATCTTAAACTGTCATCAAGTATTTTTAAGTCTAATCAAGTTGTAAAAGGCCTCGAGAGTTCACTGAAGTTTTTTGATATTATGTAGAGCTCTTGAAAGACGTTTAATCTTCTATAATAATGGATAAAATATCATCAATTCTCTTAAAGTCTGTTAGCTTTTTGAAAGTCTAGAACCCTTTGACTTTATTGTATTCCATCAAATTTTTATTCAAAAACTGACCTTAGATAACAGAGTTTTAATGATTAAATAGTCGTATACTGATTAAAGAGAACCTTTTTAGGATTTAATCAAAGATATGAAATATTCTTTCATTCCATATGGAGAATTCGCAAAACAAAAGCGAGTTGACATCCATAACGCATGAAAATGTTAAGATGACAGTATGAGAATTATACATGATATCTTTATGGCAAGTCTGCTATATTACTTATTCTACCAGCATATAAATGATTTCTCTACGATTGTAAAGAAATATTAAATAGTGTTTCTTACAAACATTTTTCGGTAAGATATTTTTTCTTTGTTCAAAAATTTAACTAGAAGCAAACTCAATTGTTTTAGCTACGTACTCTGACTTTATTCAATTAGCCCACGTTACTCTAACAGAAATGAAACAATAAAAAACATGATTTTTTTAAAATGTTTGTTTATTTTAGGAAGAGGTAGACATAAATAAACGAAAAAATGAATTACTCATAGAAATTGAAGAATTGACAAAACCAGATACAAATACTACATATGATGTCTACAAAGACTTATGTAAGAACCATGGTGTTCTACTTGATAAAGATACTTAAGAAACGAGCGAGGATCGTTTCTCAATCGTGATACATATGTAACTGCTTGATATTCTCTTTCTCTTCTATCTCTTCTACTTTGTTTCTACTTGTTCTCTGCTCTCGCTTTTTTTCTCTTATATGTTGACTCAAAAATGAGACACACATGATAAATATATGATATATTTATTTAAAACTGGTCAAGATTTCTTTTTCTTACCAACACGGACAAAGAAATTTCGAGTCTATATTTGTAATTATGATAAAGCAGTATCACCTTCGATTTTCTTCATGTCCATTTGAAATATGATGTTTAAAAAACAAGTTACAGAATCGAATAGAAAGTCAAATCTACATGTAAATAAACAAAATGCATTGATCATATATTTGAAAATCATAAATTATTAAAAGATCTTGAATATAAATAAAATCTCTTGTGAAAACGTATTCAATTTGAAAGGTTTTGTGATTGATCTTTGATATGATCGTAAAGAAGATTTATAAATAAAAAAATTTAGCTTTTCTACGTGAAAAAAAACTTCATTATCATATTGTCGACAATAATTGAATGATGATAAATTGCAATATTAGTGTGATTGATCAGATAGTAAATCATCAAGAAGTAATTGTTCATCAATTAAAGTGAAAATTAAATAAACAATATTAAAAGATGAATAATCATATTTTTGAAAAAAAAGAGTAATATTATTATGATTAATTCAATTTAATAAAGGATCTTGTTTTAAAATCGTCTAATGTATCGTATACTTCTCTTTTATATTATTTAAGTTGTTCAATTTGATTTTGTAAATTAAATTGTTTTTTTTGTTAAAGAACCCATGGAATCACAAAATGGCAAAAAATAATGAAAGTTACATCATTTTAATGTAAATTTTTCCACAGAAAAATGTTGTTGAAAACAAAAAAAATGACATTTTTGATCGTGAAATGGACATTTTCTTTGATGTATTTCAAATTCATGCATGATTTTCGAAGCTTTCGTTTCATGCAAAACATTAAATTTCCATCAATATCATACCATGAAAACCATTAAAAATACATGAAAATCTTCTCCTGAAAAAAACTAAAATTTAATGGAATTCATGAAATTAGAACAGTGAAAAAAGAAATATCTTCCTATGGAGTAAAAACATGCAAAAAAAATGATGTATTTTACACTATTTTAATAAAACTTTTCTGTACGAGACATGATGACCAACATAAAAAAAAAAAGTGGTATTTCTGATGATGGAATAGACAAAATACTGCATGTTTTTCAAAGTAATCGAGGATTTTCCAAATTTTTATTCATGAAAGTAATGATTTCCACATCATTTTCATGGCACGAAAGCCATTAAAACTGCATGAAAAGAATGCCAATAAGAAACTGACACTTTCCTCAAAGTCAGGTAATATGTAATATGCCATGATGATTGTGTAGTCTATTTCTACCTGAGACTTCCGTAGACTCAGGCAGGCTATCTTTTCCTGGAGGATGTGGGCGAGTGTGGATATGGACATGAGTGTTACTCTTCAGTTCAACCATACCCATACCCACATCTGCACCCACCCTTCTCAGTTTTGTTTTCGCTTTTACGGTTGCGCATAAAAAGGCCCAGAAACGATCGCCAAATGATGCACTTCGTTGATTCTCTGCAGTTGGTTTTTCCAACTTAAAAAAACAACAGCACAAAGTCAATATACAGGTAAAGTAACGTTGAATAAATATGGATTGTTAATAATACTATGTTATTTTCGACACTATCACCAAAGAAATTTCGGAGATAATACTGTGTAGGGTAACAAATATCAATGCTAATGAAATACAGCACTACGAAGGAGAAAAATTATAATCTACAATAAACACATTCTGAAGATCTATTCATGCGAGATCGAATAACCTCTGTCAAGTATGAGCCAGTTTCAATTGTTACCCTGCCAATGAGCTAGATGTTGTGGTTTTCGTTGTTCTGAAGAGTGACAAGCTTAACATGCAAGGTGAGGATTGAAACCAAGCGGTGCTAAGAGGATTCGAAATGGACCATGTTTTGTGGCCTGGGTCGATTCAATGCAGACTGGAAGTTTTGCGTGCTCACCTGGTTCGGGTCCACAGGAAATTTTGTTTTCACAGAAGCTTCCAGCATACTTTATATTTTAATATCAGTTTCAGAACTTTAAAAAAAAAATTTTTAAAAGCATGTCATTGATGTAGTAGGTGAGCACCGTTATATCAGTCATGCATTAGAGAGTGAGGAAGCGTTCGCCAACTGTCTTCTTGGAGAACTGTTTTACTTTTTCCAGCAAAAACGAGTATTTCCCATTTACGGTAGCACTTACTCACCTCATCTTTACCACAGCCTCTAGTCAAATGTCAATTCTTTTAGTAGAGAAGAAAGAGAATTCATATTAATTAAAACAATATCCAATTCTCTAAATAGAATAATCAATGGATTTCGTCTTCAGTTTTTCCTCATCAACTTTTCAAATGTCATCGGACTGTACTCTATGAAAATTTACAGGTGTATAAATTTTGACTATATGATTCCATCTGTCACCTATAAATAGACGATTTTTATCAAATATCTATTGCCTGATTAACTTTTAATTGTTAACTTGGCAATTGCTTCCGTTTATTTTCATGTTTTAGAGAAAAAATATTTTTCTCTCGACTTCAAAACATTCTTGTTTAGCAAAGAAAAATTGTCCATTATTTTCTAATCAACCTTGAAATGTTCACCTTAAAGTTCAGACACAAACTGTTGAATGACATCGACCGCTTGTGTACACGCTTTCGGATAGGTACCTATATCCAGGAAAAACTGATTGGTTGAGAAATTTCTCGATTATTTTCTTACCTGGAAAAGCAAGAAAATCATGCAGGACACCTTTGACAAGTAAAAGTTTGGTTTTGACGCCCGCCTTGTCAAGTAACTCCTGATATGCTGAAATTAGCACATTTGATTTTTCTTATCTATTCTCAAACTCTGTGTTCATACCGTAACTGTCGTCTCGGAGCGGATCCAGTTCGGCGGCAATAAATAAACATGGTGGCAAGGTGTTGAAAGATTTGTTGAGAAGAACAGATACTCGAGGATCTTTCAGATCGTTTGCATCATGAAATGCGTGCAACTTCAACCTGTGCGAAAAGAACGAGTCACTTTGATTCGGAGAGAATTCTATTCAGTATTTACCAGTCAAGCGTTGCAGGTGTAAGAATGTACATCGGATCGCTAAATTCTTTGTGAGACGGTGTTCTACATGTGGCATCGAAAAATCCATAGATGAGAATCTGTTGGAAAATGAAAATGAGACGTTTCGGTTATGAGTGTTGCTGAAATCTACACCTGAAAATCAATATTTTTTATCGTATGACAAATAGATGCGCTAATCTGAGCACCAGCACTGTCGCCCGCCACACCAATCTTCGCTGTTTGATCGACACCTGAATAATCATTGAATACAGATCAAAGAGTTAAAAAGAGAAAAACAGACCGTAGAACACTTTATTTTCTATAATGTGTCGAGTAACATCACATGAATCGTCGAGCCAAATTGGATATTTATGTTCCGGTGCAAGACGATATTCGACAGAGATCCAAATAGTCTTTGTCGCGCTAGGCAGGTAGATACATAGAAAGTATATCTCAAGATGTTGTAACGAAGGCGATTGTTCATCAATATTGAGATATAGATTCATTTTGTCCAAGTTCTTTGTTAAAACCCATCTCAACTATTTTCTATTAACTGTTGAAATCCTAAAAAAACTATTCACACGATTTCTATGGAATTTGGTTAGATCAACTTATCATAGCTCTATACATATGATATCATACTAGTAAAACCTGTTCAGCTAGTAACAAACTTGATAATTCATTACGTTTATGACATTTTACACTCGTCTTCACACATATCGAGCTTGGACAGGCTGACATAGATTCATGTTGGTTCTGGGTAATTCATAAATCTAGTAGTGAGGAATATGGGAAGAGGAACTCTTACTCGGCAAGAGTATTGACCATTGTTTGGTGCGTCTTGCGACTGGAACTAGTCCACCCTGATTTCAAATAAAGTTATAAATCACAATCAATAAATAATCCTAATATTACCTCCACCATGGAAAAATATAACTAGTTTATCCCTGTTAACATCTATTGGTATATAGATTGTAATAGGAATCTCTAAACATTCAATGCATTAATATCACGAAGCAATAGATGATTATTGTAGTCTAAATTCACCTGCACAGTTGACCTTCACGTGCTCTTCTTGTAGAGTACCCTTGAATGTTCCGATAAGTTTTTCATTACCTTTGGTGAACAGTTTTTCATCTGCTTCACGCACTTCTTTGATCGTGGGACTTTCCGATGAGGGTAAAATTGAAACAGCTAGTTGACAGTAAGCATTCGCTTCATCAGTGAATCGTGAGTCCCTGTAAGAGCAAGATAAATGAAGGTCTATTCATCAACATTTACATAAAGTGAGCCTACATTGATTAATCACCAATAGGAGCCTCGTTATCAGATGACGATGATCAAGCCGAGGATGGATGAGAGCAGAGAACACGACAAATGAAAAGAATACTGTTAAAAAATAGATCAGTTTATTTTTAAACAACAAAAAAACAAACAAAATAATAACAATAAACTGGAAAAAAAACGGAGACAGAAAACCTGAAAAAAGAAAAAAATCAATAACAAAAAGAAAACACCAACAACTAAAGTGTATCAAGCGATCTTGTATACATCGATTGAGTAAACCAATGAAAAAAAATAATAACAAAGATATAGAAGTAGATAACACGATGATGGTTAGAGTGACAGATGCCGCACCCTAGCAATCATCCCTACCAACAGAACAAACAGTGTGTCAGCACGCTTGTGTTTGTTAAATATAACTATCAAATAATAAACCATATAATATAAACATTGGCTTACCCATTTATTATTATATTTAACCCTAGTACGCCCAACATGGGTCATTTCTGACCCAGACATAAAAATTTGGAAATACACTATAATATTTTGCTAATTTTGGGTTTAAGGAATCATTCATCATCTATTACGAATAGATAGCTGTTGCGTAGTCTAAAATGAAACTAATTTTTCCTATTCCATCTCATTACAAGCCTTCAATACAATAAAATACAATTTCATCAGTATATAACATAAAACTAGACAAGAGAACAAGTTAATTTTTCCATTAAAATTTAAGAGTCATGCACCATTTTAACTGTATATTTATCTCCATCTTACTTAAAAGTATTTATTGATTGGGTTTTGGATTATCCAGTTAGGATGATGTATGATTCATACGATTAAATTTTGGATCGAAGATATTCATCTATCATCTAGTACCTCTTCATTTTGTTTTATTTTATAGATTAAGATTTCTTTTTATATTATAAAAAACGATCATGAACAATTGGATTGAAGAGGATAGCGAAGTTGACGATTTTACCGACGAACAAAGTGGTTCAGAAACAGAAAATGATGAAAGTCAAACATCAGACGCTGATGATGAAATTGATTTAGAAGATCTTAAATTAACCGAAGGTTCCACACGAAAAAGCTCATATACTTCAAAGTCCGGGATGATCTGGTCTTCAATTCCGTCTACTTCAACAAAAATAAATTCTTTCAGTGATAATATCGAGAAATCTGGACCGACCAAGCTTACTGAAAATGTTGCATCTATTGAAGACGCATTCATTTGTCTTATGTCGGAAAAAATCATGCAGGAAATTTTAATTTATTCAAATATGGAATATGATCGAAGCGTCGGATTAGATGAAAAAGAAGAAATAACAATGATGGAATTAAAAGCTTCAATTGGAATATTATTGCTTGCTGGTTTATTAGGAAGATCAAAGGGAAATTTGCGATCCTTATGGAGAACAAGTCCCTTGGAATCTCCAATATTTAAAGCTACGATTTCAAGAAATCGTTTTGACAAAATTATTTCGTGTCTAAGATTTGATGATAAAAGAACAAGAGAAGAGAGAAAACAAGCAGATGAATTTGTGGCAATTCGTGAAATTTGGTTAGATTTTCAAGATAAATTAAAAACATGTTATACACCAGGACTTGATCTTACCATCGACGAACAATTATTAGGTTTTCGGGGAAAATGTCCATTTCGTCAATTTATTCCTAAGAAGCCTGACAAATACGGATTAAAGTTCTGGCTATGTGTTGATGCAGAGTCGTATTGTGTATTGAATGCTTTTCCTTACATTGGACGACAACCAGGTCAAGAAAAACAAAAACACATTGGTGAAAGTGTAGTTTTAGAATTGCTCAAGCCATTCTATGGTTCAAACAGAAACGTTACAATGGATAATTTCTTTACAAGTGTTCCATTGGCGAAAAATCTTCAAACGAAGAATCTTACTCTTATAGGAACATTACGAAAAAATAAACCAGAAATACCTATAGAATTTCTATCAAATAAAACTCGTGAAGTTGGTTCTTCGCTTTTTGGTTTTGAAGATAATTTAACTTTAGTTTCCTTTGTACCAAAAAATAATAAAGCTGTCTTATAACTTTCTTCGAAACATCATGATAATCAGGTGGACAATAAGACTGGAAAACCAATTATTGTTTTGGATTATAATAAAACCAAGGGAGCTGTTGATACTGTTGATCAAATGTGCCACAAATACACAGTAAAAAATATTTTTATTTTTTATCTTTTCATTTTGTCATTTATAGGTAAAAAGAGGTACAAAACGGTGGCCGCTTTGTATTTTCTACGGTATGATAGATATCGCGGCTCTAAATGCTTTTATTTTATGGAAAGCGAAAAATCCAGAATGGAATCGAAATAAGAGATATCAACGGCGATTATTTTTAGAAGAACTTGGACTTAGTCTAATAACACCTCTGTTGGATTTTCGTTCAAAAAACTCAAAATTTCCACATAAAGATATTCAAAATGCTTTAGCTATTGTTGGTCATCCTATAACGAGAAGAAATTCAGAAGAATCAAATGAAGATTCTGCACAAGGAAAACGAAAACGGTGTTCAATGTGTGAAACATCTAAAGACAGAAAAACTTCAACTAAATGTTATAAATGTTCTGCATTTGTTTGTAACGAACATAGTATAAAGCAGATTTCTTGTATTAATTGTTCGAAATAAAGGACTAATATACTCTCAAGATTGTTTTCTATCAGATTGGATATAACACTAGTATCCTTTTGTCAGGATAGTGGCCTTAGAATAGAGAAAATAATTTTATAGAAGCATATATTGCTACTGTAGTGCGTAAAAAAGCACGGGCGTACTAGGGTTAAAACAGAAATAATTTTTTCTGTATATCTTATGGAACAGTAGCGAGTGATTACCTCGTCCTCTTCTATTGTCATCCACAAGTCATCATTATCACTTACATAATCCATTGAATAAAAAATCTTTTTAACCCTAACCCTATACATGGTCATTTATACATACCCTATAGAGAACCACCGTCGACAGTGTACTTGCCGCGAAATTTGTTTTTATAGCGACCGTCGAATATTGAATAAAAAATATTTATCGTTTTCATATAAGAATTTCTTCTCTATTTTCTCTTTAGAAACATCAAGATTACAGGGCGAAATAAAACATATAAATGATCAAAATTTCTTCTCTACTTTTCTTATGAAAATAAAGATTTTATCTATCTTCATTGTTTAAATAATAAAGCTTTATATTTTTTTATTTTTTAAAAATAGAAAATCCATTTATTGATAAGGTAATCGCCTATTTAGTATACTTTCTATTATTACTGATTGTAGAGAAAATCTTACCATAATTAAATGTTCATGTGGATTGGCATACTTATTTACATTTAATTCAGCAATATTTTCAATATCATTTAAAAGTTCATTTGAATGTAAATGTTGATTTGTATCCATGTGTATTTTTCGATTTGTATTAGTAACATATTTTTGATTTAAACATTTATCTGAATTTACGTTTTCATTTCTATTTACATGTCTTATATGATCTATTTCCATAATATATTTAATTTTATTGAAACGTTCTTTTGGATGTAAATGTTGATCTGTATTCATAAGTATATTTTGATTTGTTGTAATAACATGCTTCTTTTGATTCATACATTTATCTAAATTTATATTTTCATTTTTCATTATATGTTAATTTTTCTTTATGTGTTCATTATAAACAACGTTATTTAATGTTGTTGAATGACGAACTAGATTTTGTTTCCAAGTTGAATAGTCTAATTTGTGAAACAAATGAAATTTCGATTTTTTATTTTTTTAGTTACAGGAAACTTACATTTGCATTTAATAATACGATATTTATTCAATATAGATTTATGAGTTGATGTTCGTCGAAGGTGTGGAATAATGGTTGGGTGTGGGTGTGAGTGTGGGTGTGGGTGTGAGTGTGGGTGTAGACCTCAATGGCACCCACACCCTCATACCTACACCCACAATAAATTCAATACTTATATTAATGAGAATATTAAGTTAAGAAAAACAAGTTAAAAAATAATGATCAGCGAATAGCAACAATGCAAATAAAAATAGGGCACTCATAGAAAAAATTAAAATTTCTATTCGAAATGAAGAAGTCAGATAGGTTTTTACTCTGGCGTTCGATTGCCCTGCAAAACAACTGTAGTCTACGAGAGGTTTTTCACCTTACGTATTTGTTATAATTAGTTTAACGAGGCTAGATAACATATGTGAATTGCACATTTCAGCTCCAAAGGGGCTGTGCTAACAAGCAGTTTTATCTGATACATTGCGAGTATGATCTTATTATTGATCTTTTATGATTAATGTCTTGCATTGCAATCTCTAGGAAAATGTTACATTTCATCCAACGATGGTATGTCATCATCGCTTAACAATGAACATATATCATTTTATCACTCGTCTACTTCAACCGTTTTACAATCTAGTTACTTATTCGAACACATTTCATACAAGTGCTAATGTAGTTGATGTTATGGAAGAGTATACCAGGAAGGATCGTCTTAGAACAAACATAATTTTCTACTTGACATATCGATGATCTATTAACTGTCGTATCACATGAACAAACCATTGAAACATTGCAACGTTTTCACCATGAATATACGTTCGATAAAAAAATGGAAGGTATCACGATACCAACAATCATTGATCTTATTCGACTCATTCTTGAATTTCAATACGGTCTCTATGAAAACAATCTCTATCAACAAATTAAAGAAGGTATTTCTGACTCACTACTGAAGATACTATTAGACAACATCTACATATATTATTAGCAACCAGAGTTAATGACCATTTTATCCAAATGAAAAAAAGGAAATCTTTGACAGATAAGTATATCACTTCTTCATGTGTTACATTTTCTAGTTCTATAGATACGATTATATAGATGTTTTGATGAAATATTCTTCACATGGAACGAATCCGGAGAACAACTTTATGATATGCTTTGTATGATCAATCGACAACAACCTAATATTCGAATTATTCTGTTCATCAATGATCATATCAATTATCTCGATGTTAATAATCGTTAATATCATGATGATGATCTCCATCTACAAGTTATCCATCCTTCAAATACTAAACCTTATTCATTACCTTATATAGTTGGTAATTCACAAAACAAGTATCATATCCTACTTCGAGCAGTTCTTCTACGTGCTACATGCTGTGATGCTAGTGTGCCTGACTGCGTAAATGAATTGCAAGATATTCAATGCTCGTTTCAATACAACCGATTTTTCCATGATACTATCATGGACAAAATAATGTTGTGCTTCGAAGGTTTCAATGTACCTAAACTAAAGCTTCACTATAATAAGCAATACTATGGCCAGTATTTTTATAATCAATTTCGACGAAATATTTCTAATTATCATCGACGTCAAAAAAGAACAAAAACTGAAAGATGTCGGCAAATTCCTCAATATTGATGCAAATCCTTACGCAATGATCATCAACACCCGATGGATCAATGGCCTGCCATTTTTTCACCACTCACTACTTCAAAACTAATTGACACCACTCTCGCTATAAAAGACCATTAAAAACATAATTAAATTTATATATAGTGAGAGTATCAACATATGATTAGAAATCCAAACATCTTCCTTATGTTTGCATCCAACTATAGATTTGTTTGTCTCTCGAAAAATCTATTGTAATGCTTCTATAAGTTACCGTTTTCATAATCATTACTACCGCGTGTAGATGCCATTCTTTTTGACTTCTCTTTTCACGTGTACCTCATTATTTCGACCCGTTGCAAAACTCATAACTAAACTGATTGAAATGGCAGATAAAAACTACATCTGGATTAAACGTCTGACTCTTAGTCAATACTAATACGGCAGACAAAAACATTACGCCAACTGCCCTATCATTAGACAACAATGTCAACGAATCAACATAACATGAAATAAACGAAACCCACTCGTAGGAAAATTTTTAAAAACCTTCAGGAAATAACAGCATTATTCATCTACCTATTGCAGGACTAAGTACCATTCACTACAACGAATCTGACAACCAATACTTGTAGTAATACATATTTAAACCATGTCCAAGATTCAAAGCCTGACTTAATGCGAATAAATGCACCTCAACAATAAATAAACATTGTCCCACACAACTGAAGCCTTTCTCAAATGAACGCAGTCACTCTAAAAGAATTGAAAATTAACTTCGAGAGTTCAACCAGAAACAAATGCTATTTCTCGTGAAGCGGTCACTCTTCTGATTACACATGTGTACCAATTCCATCCTAGCCACTACTGTTTCATATGAATACAAAAACAGGAAGGAATCCAATTTACGACACATAATAACATTGTGCTACAGTCCATTTCAAGCGGACTTGAATATCAGTTTATTTAGGTGATAAGGATCCGACACACATATATAAGCAGATACATACATGCTTGCATAGCAACTCACACTGTCTACGACATACCCGCGTAGAGCCAATTGAATCCGCTGACCTTATATTTGCACTTACACTCACTATCGCAGACATACTCACATATACACTCACACACATATACCCAGCGTCTACGCCATCTACCCGCTAAGTCATAGACATGCACACCGGCACGCATAGTGTGCCAAGAGATACACCGATGTAACATGCTATCACCAGCATGGGACATCATTCTTACGCTATTTTACTCTTACTCCATATCATCATTGTATAATGTCAACCTTGTATCCTTACATAGTACTGTTCATAGTGTTCAATACTTGTTCATTCTCAATGCTATTGTAATCGTTACGTTACACACTGTTCATTCTTAATACTATTGTAATTGTTCCGTTATACACTGTCCTTTGTCAACGCTTGTACAATCGTTGTATTACATCCTGTATATATTCACATTGCTCTCTATCCTCGAGAAGATGAAGGAGAAAGAGGAAAGAAAAGAGTGAAGAATATAGCAGTTGATGAAAGTGAACAGCGAGAGCAAGATTGAACAACGATATATACAAGTGTGAGGGACATACATAGTGGTGTATAACTTCGCATGTTAAAGAAGAGTGGTATTGTTGAAATAAAAGAGCAAGTGATAGCGATAAGTAACGAAAGGGTGAAGGAATCAACAGAAGCCAAGACAAAGTCAAGAGCTTAGTAACTTCAATTATTATTCTTATTCATCCATTCCTCATCGTCACATATTTTTCGTTACAATTATCACCAAGCATCTTCTCTATTGAAGATGCTATTATTCATCAATCTTATTTTGGCGATGAAATTTCTCTTCGACAAGGTGATATTGACGATGTCTTTCGGAATGCTAAACATATTTTAGAAGATACATTATACATTGGTGGTCAAGAACATTTTTATATGGAAACAAATTCTTGTATAGTTATACCATCAAATGATGAGAAAGAAATAACTTTATATGCAGGAACACAAGATCCTACTTCTGCTCAAGAAATAATAGCGTTTGTTCTTGGACGAAATGTTAATCATGTAACATGTCATGTCAAAAGAATTGGTGGAGCATTTGGTGGCAAAGGAACAAGATCTCATCCTCTGTGTGCTGCTGTTGCAGTAGCTGCTGTTAAACTTGGCACACATAGGATGTGGGTGTGGATGTGGGGGTGTGTGTGGGTATGGATGCCTATGCTTTTCTCCCTGCAATCCCATACACTCACATTCGCATTCCTAAAAGTTACATTCAATATCCAAACTTCGGGCTCAGATTTACATTAACACCTTCAGTGACATAAGCCTCTGACATCGTGGTAGTGACAAGAATTTCAGATATATCGATTGCTTCAAATCGCTTGAATTCAAAGAAAGTTATTCTTATGAAAAATCAATTTCAGGGCGTTTTTGAGAAGCAAAGTTTTATGTTCTCACTGATGTTTGATATTGTGAGTTTGTAAGTGATAACAAAATCTATTTTGATAAACTAAAACTACAGCTATATTATTCAATGGGCTTGAAAGAGCCTATGTGTAAATTTTTCAGACACGTAATGCTCGAAAAGTCCTTCAATGAGAGAACAGCAGCATGTTACATTCATTTTCGCATATACCAGCTAGGCCAACTCTCACGTATAGTTTGTAATACTTGTCTATTTTTTTCGCGAGCGAATTCATTGACTGCGCTTTTAACAGCTTTGTTATCCGTTCGTTTGGATCCACGAGCATCAACACTCCAGTCCTGTCCTGGATCAAGAGCGCGTTGCTCGTCTGAATCTAAATAGTCGTGACCAGCCATAATACCACCTGGTTTCAGTTTTGGCCAATAGCTTTGCAAGTCCTCCATAACACCAGCATAATCATGTCTCGCATCCAGATAAATAAAGTCTAGGCTATTATTTTCTATTTCCTGGGCTGCTGCATAACTAAAATTACGATGATAACGAATGATATGCTTGAAGCTTTCCAATTTTTTCGTAGCAGCTTGGTACACCTTCTCTTGTTCTGAGTTCACTTTGTTTGCTGTATCTTTATAGTGTTTTTGATGGGCCCACAGGTCAATTGCATGAAATTCGATACAATTTGGCCAATTCTTGAGTAAATAAAGTGAAAAATCACCATATCGCACACCAACCTCAGCTCCTGTTCGAAACTGTTCATCACGCAGGATCATTATAAAATCTTTTCGAGAACGAATTAATTGCAGCGGTTTTGGAATATTTAAATAGAAGTATGCGAAAGTATACACACGAATGTGATACATAATGTATAAGAAGAAACTCAGCATAAGAAGAAAAAGTAGAACTATTATTTTGTGTTTGCACATGTTTATTCTAAAAGACAAAGATAAATAGATTTTGTCGTGGTAGTCTAGAGTCATGTCTCCTGAAAATAGTAGCTTCAGAGTGTCTACCACTCGAACTTAAAGTAAAATGGTTCGTGTTCTCATTTACACATGGCTCGATAAAGTGTGGATCGATGATCACGAAAGAGTAGTTCTTAGCGTGGGTGTAGATGTGAGTGTGGGGTACGGGTGTGGGTATGGGTATCGGTGTTGGTGTGGCTGTGAGTGTGGATGTGGTGTATGGGTATGGATTCAGATCTTCTCCTTATCCACACCCACACCCACACCCACACCCACACCCACACCTCACACCCACACCCACCCTCTTCCGCCATTATTAAGACGAAAAAAGAAAATCCTTTTGTGGTGACCGCTTAGTTTATCGTGAAACACGTATAACTTTGTATATATAAACAAAGAAAAATGTGCTTACCTTCGTATTCACAACCCGGTATTGATATATGCGTAAAAGAATCGTAGCAAATATGACAACGAACGAAAAAAAAAGCTTTTTATAGTGACTGCTTAGCTTATTATGAAATAGGTATAAATATGCATATATAAACAAAGAAAAATGTGCTTACCTTGGTATTCAAAATCCGTTATCGATATATGCGAGAAAGAATCGCAGCAAATATGAAGCAGAATGAAAAAAAACTTTTTGTAGTGACTGCTTAGCTTATTATGAAATAGGTGTAACTATGTATATATAAACAAAGAAAAATGTGCTTACCTTCGTATTCACAACCCGGTATTGATGTATACGTAAAAGAATCGTAGCAAATATGACAATGAACGAAAAAAAAGCTTTTTATAGTGACTGCTTAGCTTATTATGAAATAGGTATAACCTGTCCATATCGATAGAGAAAATGTGATTACTGTCGTATTCGGATTCTGGTATTGAAAGTGTGAATGTACATAAATCAATTGTAAAACAGATGGATCTATATCTTAATGTAAATATAGATCAATCTGTTAGTATCAACTCTTGCTTTTTACCAATCGATTAAGCCGACCTAATTTTAAAGTATTAATGATGTGCTTAATAAATTGATGAATAAAGAAAAAATGCAGCGTTATTTTCGTCGAAGTGTTTCGTGTTTTTTTTTAGATATAATCACTCATCAGGGCTCTGCATTAGATTTTATAAGCACCAATGAAAGCAAAACCAATAATTAGAATTCAAAATGGGACCAAAAGCGGAACAAAAGAGAAAAACAGAAAAAAATGATTAGTCTGCAAAGGGTAATGAGTTTATTATAGCTGGATTGAATTATAAAACAAGGTCTGCATTGAAATCAAATGAGAACATATTTTAATAATATCAGGTCATTTTATATAATCGCAGCATAAAATCAAAATATATTTCATAAGTTAAAAACACTGAAAAAGTGAATGAAAAGATGTAAAATTAAATGTCATCGTTCACATTTTCTTTCTCTTATCACACATATATTCAAACGTTATATACGTATTATTTCTTTATCTTCTGGTCACGTGTTCATTTTGTTCTTAAAACGTGAGCGGAAGAACATACCCTAACTAAACAAGATCGTTAGACTGTTGATTCTGGTATTTAGTCATGTTAGACAATAGATATAACATGATATGCCCCCACCCCTTGGTCTCACAGCCCTATCCTATAATCCCAAACACAAACGTCCGAAATTATAGTTCAACTGATGATCAAGATACACCAATTTCGATCTTACCTCCACTTAATCAACAACATCACGATCCTCAACATCAAATTTATAATGAACAAGGTCAAGAGATCGGATCAATGAATATTAATAATAATGATGAATTTACATTAGTTAAAAGTAATAAAAAGAAAATTAAAACAAATCATCAATATTATCAAATTGCTGCACCTGCAAACAAAAATAGTATTGTAACTAAGACATCATCTCAAGGTAATCCTCTTATACCAAATACAAGTCAAACAAATTCACATAATCGTGAAAAGAATACGAAAAATGTTATTTCGGAATAAGCTACTCGATTTGCACAAACATGTTTTTCCTTTTCACCCATCATAATCAAATTTGCACAAGATGTCCAAACTAAAAGGTAAACGTAATCTCATCTTGTTTGCAGGTAATAGAAACTCATTTGTTATACTCTATGATGACAAAAAATGGCCTCAGCATTTAAATTCTGTTGCTTATAAAAAAGCGAGTAGCTGCCTAATTCGAGCTATAATATAAATGAAAATTTCAAAAACATGCTAGGCTCCATCAAGGCATAAAAATTTAAAAAAACTTCGCTATCAGTTGAAAAGCAGAAAACAAATTTATAAATTATAAATGAGATAGGGGTTTTCTATAACTACGACAGAAAAGCAGGAAAAAAATTATAAATTATAAATGAGATAGGACTTTTCTATAACTACGCCAGAAAAGCAGAAAAAAATTATAAATTATAAATGAGATGGCACTTTTCTATAACTACGGCGCGAAAGCAGAAAAAATATCTATAAATTATAAGTGAGATAGGACTTTCCTATAACTATGGCAGAAAAGCAGAAAAAGAATTTATAAATTATAAATTCGATAGGATAGTCCTACAAGTGCGACAAAAAAGCAGAAAAAAAATTTATAAACTATAATTATAATTGAGATAGAGCTTGCCGAAGCTTCGTCGAAAATTTTTATCTTTGTGAATAAAATGATTGATATTGAATCGCTGTCTTTGTATATTTATTGGAATATTTGTTCCTCTTGATGATATCTTGTCAGACCGATTCGGCCATGCGTTCGACTGCGATCGAACTGCTATCGCACTGTGACCCGGAATTGCAGAAAATTCCAGTAGTGTCAAACTTGAAAGTTCAATTCAACCATTCAACTATTAGTTCATCTATTCAAGTATTCAGTTCAACTATTCAAGCTTTCCACCATTCTATAATATTGCAAACTTCATTTCAGTTTCTGAACTCACTTTGAACTGTTGAGTTATTGAGCACTGTTGTGTACACAAAGACTGGCATGGGTCGCCACTCTTCGGGGACCGCTTCGCGCCTCCACGTCGCGACACTGAAATAAAAGGTGTGTTACGCAGGCAAAGTCGTTTTGCCTTCACGTCTTTCTTTCATAAGTGTGCAATTATCTAATAGCTAGAACTTCCATTTACTTAGTTATATGCTTCCCCCGTATCTCTTCACATAATTCAAGTTCTTAGTGTTTGTTTCTATGTTTATTTTATAGCACTTCACGTAGCTATTCATGAACTTGGCTGTGTACACAGAGACGAACGTGGGTTGCGGCTCTTCGAAGGGGAGGGAGAGAGAGGCACTTCGCCCTTCCATGCCGCGACACTGAAATAAAAGGTGTGTTGGGCGGGGAAAATTGTTTCGCATTCATATCTTTCTTCCATAAGTGTTGAACAGTTTGATAGCTAGAACTTCTATTTACTTATCATGTCCTTTCCTCACATCCCGCGATCGCATAATTAAAGTTCACAATATTCATTTTTGGGTTTATCGTACAGCACAGCATGTAGCCATTCATGGATTATCTGTGTAGAGAGATTCTTACTCTAACATTCGATTATTCTGCAAAACAACTGTAATCTACGAGAGGTTTTTCACTTAACTTATTTTGTATAAGTTTAATGAGGCTAGAGAATATATGTGAATTCCACATTTCAGCTCCAAAGAGGCTGTGCTAACAAGCTTTTGTGAAACTCACATATATTTTCAAAGAAAATAGTGAGTGTAAGTTTCAAATCGAGGTTTTGCGGCTCCCCTCACCCCCTAGGCCCCCATCATTACAGACCTTAGCAACCGAGCTTGAAGTTCAAAGGCCATTGGGTACATTTCCCTAGCAATGTAGGATAATAAGAACTGGCTTTTTTCCTATGGTTCCTTAGCAACCATATGGCGGAAAACTATACATTATTGGATATGTTTCCATGGCACCAAGCTTCCCCATTACAGACTGTTACAAACACATTAATTAATTAGCCAATTGACAAAATAGTGAATAAAATAATAATTAATTAATAATTAATATATTCAATATTTAATATTGAAAAAAATTATTTTTTAATATTTTAAATACAAAATATAATATTCAATATTTACTATGTATTAGTTTATTTTTTTGATATTTTATATTTTTTTTTAAATAACTTATTTTAAAACCTCTGACCATATGTATTAAATTTATAAGACTCAGAGTTTATGAGCTTCACATTTCGGCCCCTTTTGGGGCCGCACCGACAAGGTTTTTTTATAAGATATTTTACTAGTGTGACGTCCCATGGGATGGGACGGAAAATTCTCTGTCTCATCCCACCCCATGTGGGACGAAATATTTGAGGATAGTATCATCCCACATGAGACAGTTCGGGATAGTTCATCTCATGGGTCAATTTTTTTCATCTTATTCCATCCCACGCGGAGTCGTAATCCACACCTACACCCACATCCTTAAAAAAAATTAGATTTATATGCGATCGAGTTGCATTGTTAAAGGTAAACTTTCATTTGTTCGATTAAAATAAAAAAATATATTCATCTATTTAGTTCTGTTCGTTATTCCACCGTGTTGCTGTAAAAGTAACTGATTATTTCATGAAAACAATTTATCGAAGTTGATCATGTTCGAACTTCATAGTATTGTTTTTCTAACTTTTCTGCTCTGTAGTTTTACAACAGAGTTTCTCATTTGTTCTTATGAAGGATTTCCAAAAAAATTTTAGGCTTTAATAATGAAAATAGAGATAAAGCAAAAATACTAATACGTGAAATAGATTAACATAGTCGTAGGTATTTGCCAAAAATGTTAAGTTCTTAATGGTATTCGGATAAAAATATTACTTGAGCAATTGTTTTAGCAACTTTTTCCAAGAAAAATAATACTTCTATACAACTAATAATGTATTTCAAGGGCGAACACTGTTAGTAATTTCAGAATGTAAACGGAAGTGCGGTGTACAAGTGAAAAGAATATCCTGAAAGTCTGTTTACTGACAGATTGTTCAATCCGTGTATAAATCAGGGAACTCATCATTCATAGTTAAGGCCTCTCCCTCAAAAATAATTCTCAGCCTAGGAACGTTCATATGACATGAAATTTTCAGGATATGTTGGAGCTGTTGCGGAAAACTTATGATGAAATTTTTAGCCCGATATCATGACGTTTCAGATAGATATTGGCCAAATAAGGGTCAAAAACAACTCATTCGGCAACTCAAATTTCTCAGTCTGGATCCATGTCATGTTTTTAAACTTTTTTGCTTGAAAAAGCATGTCAGGATGTAAAGCACCACAAAGTCCTTTTTTTAAATTCTTACTTTTTAAGCGGAAAGAAGAAATCACAAGTTCAATGGCTCAAAAAACCTCTAAAAAAATAGCACTATTTCTATAGAGGGGTTTTCTTTTATTATTATAAAACAGCTTATTTTAGAAAAAGGACTCTGTGATGCCCTGCGTCTTAACATGCTCTTTCCGACAAAAACAAATTTGAATACATCACATGGATCTGGCCTGAGAAATTTGGATTACGTGTTCGACATATCATAAACTAAGACAAAACAAAAAAGCTTTTCGGTTTTTCTTCAAAAATGGCTTATTTTTCGAACAGAGGATGGCGGAAATCTTCAAAAATTTATGGAAAAAACGAGGTGCTAAGTAAAAGTTTTGTGGTTTATGAGATACCATATGACGGACTATTTTTCCCTACATTTATCTTAATTTCAATAATTCTGATGAAAAGTGACTTTTTTTGAGGGAACTTTAATAACATATAATATTGCAGGGAAAAAAATCTCATCGTCATCGGTGTGATATCATTATTAAAATTTGAAGACGTGATTTTTTTTTCATAGAAGTGTACGAAGGAAATTAGTCATTCGTATTATCACCTATCTTATTATTCATCTCAATAGTCACATAGAGAGAGAGCCCATGATAATTTGTGTTATTTTTCAAAACAAATTTCGAAAACAAACATCATTGATGCTGACAGCATGTAATTATTCTCAAAGTTTTTGCGTACATAGTTTCATCAATAAAAGAGTTAAAACTTTGATCAATCTTCTCAAAGAATGATGTATCAAATTCTATACAGATCATATCTCTCTCTGTAAACATAGGCGTTGTAAGGGAAAGGTCATTGGGAAATTATCAAATGAATTTTTAAGGACTGTAAATATGGTTCAGTGCTAAGAAATATTACTTTCTCATAAGAGAGAGAGAATTTATTAGGGAAATTATGTCAAGGACTTGCATTTTTGCATTGCACAGAGTCTTGATGCTGCCAGGAAATATTTAGCGTTTAAGCAGTCAATGAATAACCTTAGATGGAAACAGGTTTTTTCTGATTGGAAGCAGACACTACGTTTCAAAACTACATATTGGTTTATGACCTGGAATGAACCTGAGTATTGCTCATTTAATCAGCATGGCAGTCTTTTCACATTCGTTCATTGGAACAGCCTAATGCAAATATTCGATCTCTATCCAAGATGCGCTTCATAGTTGATCAGAGTCGATCGATTTTGAAAACAAATCTTTCTTCTTTATCAAATGATAAATGAAACAAAAGAGTTTTGTTTGCATGTCATTGAGTATGATCGAAGTCATCAGCAATAGAGTGATATGTAAAGAAGATATATGTAAATGTTCATTTCTGTCATCTGATGTTACTACCAGATATATTTTTGCCAACATATTTAAAGTCGTTTCGTTCGAAAGAAAGACTTCATCGACATTTCTGTTTCTCTTCGTTTCAATAAGTTACAATATTGATATCACTTTGATAGTATATTATCGAATATAGAAAATAGATTAAGTTGCGACCTGATTTTGATTAACGATCAATACTTTCATCAAATTC